CTGATTGTGTCTTTTTTTTGTAAACCCATCAACGTGAGTGAGCACTGATCTTCCCTGCCCTTTTGTCCCTATGTCTGAGAGTCCTCCACCTGGACATGAGCTCCCCTGGCTTACCTGGAAGTCTTTAAAAGTTGACTTCGGACGCAGGTCGGCCGTAGTAAGGACAATCAGTTCAGGTGGGGATTCCTGGAAGGCTCAAACTTGGAGTGCAGGTGCGGTTTTGTTCCCCAGTCGATGAAGCACATGTCGTGCCCTGCGTGAGCAACTGCACGCAGGAAGATTTAATGACTGCTACTGACAACGCCACTCCTGTAGCGGAGTTTTGGGCTGACATTGTATAGGTTTGTTGTCGACAAATACCATAAACGTAACGTAGAGTTGCCAAAAACTATTGTCGCGCCTATACATAGCAATTTTCTATTTTCAATACCAAACAACGACCCTTATTGGGGTAAATCTCCGCAGTTGACACGCACCCGGGTAATCCGGACAATCTCGGGCCGCACCGGATCCGGGTCACAGACCGGGACCCTCTATTTGCACCGGATTCATTTGGACTGGTTTTGGGATACTTCTTCGCAAATTGAGATTTGGGTGAGATTGTCTGCAAATACATCTACATATACTCATCTAACGAAAATAACTCAAGCATCTTCAATTTTGGCCAATATTTGGCACTTAGATAAGTTTTGGTGTAGAAATGAACATGATGATGAATATTCGCAGAGGAAATACTTAAACTTTACGCACCTGCTGATGTTAGAGTGCTAGCAGATTATTTGGGACACCTTAACGAACGGGAATCAGTCCCATTTTTGTTTTTTTTTCTTTTAATATTAATCTTTCTAAAGTTTGGAAAAGACGTTGACCATAATGACCCTTTTCTTTCGGTGATTCTTCTTAGCACTAGTTTTAGCCTACATTATTGTCCTGAAGCAGTGATAGAAATTAATGCAAATAATATTATATTGTTAAAGAGCTGAACTTAAAAATAAATGTATTTTTATTTTATTTTAGGTACGGAGGGAACCGCGTGTGGAGTGTCCAAATCCTCCATTTGCCTCTGGTAAATTAGAATGTAGTCCTGCAGTGGAGACTAAATGACCTGATGATGTTGTATAATGGGAGATATTTCTACATAAAAAATACATTCCATAAAGTCCTTGGGACATAATGACCTAATCATAATAAGTAGTTATGGGGAAAACAGCCTTGATTATGTTAATACCGTCCACGACAAAGAAACCATATTACCAGATTGGCGAATAAACAACTTGTTTTTCTTGTATATTTAAGAAAACCTAAATATTTATGTGATAATTATAACAGCCCCATAAATAAGCTACAAAACGTGACAGTTGTAATTCCGAAAACGTTTCACTCTGGCGTTTTCTTCGTTAAGCCATTTCTTAATGTCTGGAGGGGCAGGTTGACGAAAAAGTATCTTGTAATATGAAGAAGATAAATAAATTGTCTATGGTCGTTTTAGTGTTGAACCTGGCTGGTGAGATTAAAAAAGAAAAAATAATTGAATTACTTTCCCGCCAATTTTTAGACCTTTTACTGTCAAGCAATAAGGGTGAATCTACGAAGACGCTCGCTCGATACATTTTAAAGTTGTATGCAAAAAAGATCGATGAACTCAATTCAACGTACAGACGACAGCATATCGAGGCTCCTACAAATATTCTTGTAGCAAAAGCGAACCTATTACAAAGGCTTAGATGTCACAGTATTTGGCTTAATATGCCATTGTCTATACACCCAAAGTGGCCAAAAGTTGACAGCACAACCTTATTCCGATTTTAACAAAGACGTGTTGCGAACTTTTTGGCTACTTTGGGTGAAAACTATTTGACGCTGACTGTATCTACATACTGCGACGAAGGACCAAACTTCAGACTACATTTTTAACGAAAAATCGACCCTATTACCACTACATAAGTACATATCCTTCAGCTTGAAGTGGCGTCTTTGTATAAATCCCGGGAGACGACAAACTGAAGGTAAACTACGACATAGAAAGAGGATCCTATAGATGTGACGTCAGCATATACCCTTTAGTCCCGATTTCCAGGCGGAGCGGAGAAAAGATGTGTTTGAATAACCTTTCAGAAATCCGTACCGAAGCTGAGCGGAGAGGTGTATTAACGCAATCTGATTGGTTATTCAAACATATCTCCTAGAATATCGCCGAGGCTTTGGTAAAAACAGGGCCTTATGGAAAGTGAGTGTAATATCTAGGCACTAAGAATGTCGGGAAAGGAAAGCGCAGCTAGGACTGGTCGTTTTAAAAATCTTAAGGGGAGGCCTTCATCCAACAATGGACGTTATTTAGCCGAAACGAAAGGATATTGGGAATGGCAGTAGTTTGAGACCTAGGGAAAAACATACGGGATGGTTTATATCCTCCTTTTGGAAAGGGGAACACGCGTGCGACTTTCTTTCTCTAACATACAGAAATTCAAGCGGGCAAAGCATTCCAAAAGCAAATAGTAATTTGTATGTATACCTCCAAAAATATGAAATTGTACTACAATCAATGCAAAGCCTTTTATGTTTTTTCCAATTGGGATTCAATTCACGCACGTACACTGGATTGCAATGTAATTCGCCATCCCCTTCGTGCGCCATAAAAATTTAATCCATCGGAATTGGGCATATTACATTGACCTTCAGTGTACCAATAGAGTAGAGGAAACAGTAGAACCACTCCAGAAATAATCATATGCCTATAGAAATAACTAGAAAAGTGTTTTTTTTAAACCACGAGGAAGCTCTTGGCCTGCATCTCTCCTGATGGAAAGTGATAATCAGGCCGAAGGTGGAAGCGAGCTTCACACTAAAGCCCGGTCGCCAGGCACGTTAGAATTTCGTCCAATTACCTCAAGCTACCCATCTTTTTCTTTATCGCTCGCGTGTTATTGCTGACGCGACTGTGCGACAGACGGCCGCAGTGAGTGTGCGAGCGCTATAGCTAGTAGCCTGTTTCTCGGCATCTAACGGGAAGTATGTAAGTGTTAAAAATCGCTCGCACGATCACTGACGGCTATCGTATTTGCCCTTACCAGTTGGCGCCACAGTAGAGTAAGGTCCTAAGGTCACTCGCTAATAGCTTAGACATTGGCGCCATCTAGTCAGCGCTGAAGCGGTAGGAGAACTGTCGCGTTTGCACTCACAGGATGGCGCCACTGAGTAAGGACCTGTCACTCGCCAGTGATGCCATCTGTTGAGCTTAACAGTCAGTGACAGTCCTACCGCTTCAGCGCTCACTAGCTGGCGCCACTGTTCTACAAATGCCTCCATGCCACTGTCTTCTAGCAAGTGCGGTGTTTCGTACGAAATCGCTTCGTCGAAATTATGTATGTGTTACGGTTAATGTGATAAATTGAAAATTATTAATAATAACCGGTTATTATGAATAATTACCGACAGTCGCGGTAAAAGTGATAAATTAATCGCATTTAACAGTGATTATTTAATAATTCAACCTTAGTACTAACAAACTTCATAAAAGAGAGCAACATCTTGTGTACGTGCTCGTGTACAGCCAAACTTCTGAACGTTTTGATATTTTGACATAATGAGTTGGCATAATGAGTTTGGAATGTTTCTTGCATAATATTACTTTTCCATGATGCCTATAACATAATGTTTTGATTTAAAGTGAAAAACAGGTTAAGGTGCGGCGGGGGTGGCCCTTGGGCCACCCCTAAGCCGCCTATTTAGTTTTATACACACATAAATGACCTCATATTAATCACATTTACCAAATCATGCGGTAATTATTCATAATAACCGGGGATTATTCATAATTTTCACATTTATCACTTTGACCGTAACATATGAACAAAATTAGGCGATGTTGATTGCACATTTGCACTCACAGGATGGCGCCACTAAGGACCTGTCACTCGCCAGTGGTACCATCTGTTGAGCACAAAAACGATAACCTTCATTTGAAGTGACCCTACTGAACCTAACTACACTGTGGCACATGGATATGCCCATTGCCCAGTCATGGCTTTTATTGCAGTACATTAGGGATATTTAGCATAGCCGTAGGACGCGCCAGGACGATATGACCTTACATTTGTTATTAATTGATGGCAATTATCATAACTTTAACACTAACTTTGCTGTTCTAATAGTGGGATTTCATAGTTAAAAGATAAATTTAATAATGATAAATGCAAAATAAATAAAATAAATAAATAAATCTTTGGACAATTTCACACAGCGCCAGCTAGCCCCAAAGTAAGCAACTTAATGCTTGTGTTATGGGTGCTAGCTTAACGGATATACTACTTATGTACTTTTTTTTTAATACATAAATATTATACATAGTCACACCCAGACCCGTCACAGAAATTAAAATTCAACATTTCAATTTCTGCCCGGCCGGGAATCGAACCCGGGACCTCTCGGCATAGTAGTCCGTTCTGAACCACTACACCAAACGGGTTCATCATAAAAAAAAAGTATGGTACAGCAAAAAAATTATCCACCCTCCTGCAAATTATTTTTCATTCAAAGAATACTTATTCAAGGACTGTTTTGTATTGTGCCTTAATTTATCTAGTAAAAATCTTTTCAACGCACATTACTATCCTTCATAGTAGGGTAGATGGACCAAATAGATTAATACACATGAGTGAGTATGGGCCCAGAATATGAGATAATACCTTTCTCCACTTGAAAAATCCAAAGCCTCTAGTTCATTTATTTACTAGAATAAATATTATTTTATTTCACTTTCCAGTGTGAATGACAGTGGCGAAGAGTGCTTAATATGGGCCATGTATTATAATTTGTTGGAGACCACGAGTAATGTTTCTTTCTATTACACATAAACTGGGCCCCTATAGCCCAGGAGCTGCATATTTTTATATCGATATAGCTAATACAGGGCAAGTTAATATACTTTTAGAGCCAGATTAAACAAAAATTATTCTTCTATGAACCTTCAGAATAAACAGTAAAACTAATCTAGCACTGACCTGTATAAGAGGTAGAACTGTAAGAATCCGCCGAAGACGCCGAAAGCGATCTGCTCCGGTACCGAGCTGATTTCTTCAAAGCGCTGGACTTCCCGCGCTGGCCGTCAAACTTGCCCGCCGCCCCGGCCTCCGCCGGCCCTCCTCTCACGTGGCCCGGGTCCGTCACAGGACTGTCGCTAGGCACATTAGCTGCTATCACAGCCTCCTTCTCCTTTTTATTGTGATTCGGCTCCCCTTGCCCTTCCGACATGTTTTTTTTTACTTTTTTTTAATAATATTTTTTAATTTAATTAGGCAATGGCAGATTATAATTTCTATTTATTGTGATAAAGTCCGGTTTTTTTAATTTTTTTGAACTGATTTTCCGGTTGGGTACAGAGAAATAAATTTGTTTTATTATAAAACAGCAGTACAAACAACCGCAGTGGCGATAAAAACTAAGTGCGAGGTGGAAAAACACTGTACACTAATTTATAAAGGGCGATTGTTAATTTAGAACCGTATAACAATTGGCCGCTGCATTATCGCTGGTGAAAATTGATGGTATTGTTCATGAAAAAGGCAGTTTTCCAGTGTTTCACTTGCAAAATCATCTGAAACGTAACCCCTCTTCTTCATACTTCACCCCCCGACACTGAAACACACACTGAAATGTCATTTTTCGATCGGCTTTTCCCAGTGATGTTGATCGGAAAAACCGGTGTTTTGTCTATGGTCAATGAGTTTTCCTTCTTGTTTAAAATACCGGTTTTTATGCAATTATTTAATTTGAATTAAGAATTTTAACCATTATAATTTAAACCATGTTCATTTTAAATTATTTTACTGATAATTTAATCGTTTTCAATGCCCATCTCACAGACAGAATGAGGTAAGCTTAGAGACAAAAGAAACAGTACCCCAGTCAATGATAAGGAATCCTTTAAAACTGGAGGAGGGGATTAGGGGTCCTGTCCTAGGAAAGGGGTTCGATAGCCAAAAAGCTATAGCCTGAAAAATTCAAGTGAAGACCATAACTCGCGGCTCCGTTTCATTAGGCTCCGGTGGATATAATACCAGCATGGCTTTTAGTTGAGAAAACGGGAATAATCGATTTTCAGCCTGCCTGCTTGACATTTACATAGTTAATGATGTGCTAACATGAATATTGTAGCAAATAGCAAGCATTTTTAGAAACATGCAAGTTGCAGTTAATATTTTGAAAATTATTATTAAAATCTCCTTTGTAAAACCGGTAAATGCGGTTTTGTCTATGATTTTTTTTACATTGTTGGTCGCACTAATCTCGCCAATATGGCACTGAAACGTATGACAACCGCTACGCAACTAAACAACTAGGAAATAGAGTAAAAGCGCGGGAAACGTCGGTTTGTTCGGTCGTCCTTTTTTTGCTCTTTTTGAAATTTCATTAATTTTATAGTATATTGTATAGGATCAGTTGTAAAATAGTGTGTATATTAATTATCTGTATATATTTAATATAATCAGTGTAAAAATTCCTGTACATTGGTAAGTTTTTCACTTTTATAAAGTTTCATGGATGAGTCCGACGATCCTGGCGGGACTGGCGTCCCCCAGGTATCTAATTTTGTAACCATCTCACAAGGTTCTGAAACCGAAGGATCTCAAAGAGACACTGATTGTTCAGATGCTGGTCAATCTAGCTCTACTCGGAAACGTTCTATAAACCGCAAATATTGTAAACATTGCAACAAAAAGAGGAAACATAGGTCAAATTCATCGAATGAAATTAACAGTTGTTTATGTGAAACGGAAAGTAACCAGCCTAATATCTTTATTAATCCGCCTGATAAATTTGTAGTTCCAAACTCTCCCATGTCGGAACCCATTCCAATGAACTCCACTGAAAGCCCAAATCCTCGTATACCGACTTTTGTAGGCAGATCTCGCTACGAAGCTTCTGATGCAGCCCCTTACTTAATTCATGTGCTTAAAGATCAAGACCCATCAAATGAGCGTCTNGGAACCCATTGCATTGAACTCCACTGAAAGCCCAGCCCCAAATCCTCGTGTATCGACTTTTGTAGGCAGATCTCGCTACGAAGCTTCTGATGCAGCCCCTTACTTAATTCATGTGCTTAAAGATCAAGACCCATCAAATGAACGTCCATCTAACATTCACCCGATTTCATTCGGCCAATTTTTGAAAAAGAACAAGTTTAAAAATATAGTTAATGGCAGTTTGAAAAAGATTGGTAGAAACCGTATTGTAATTTCATTTTCAAATTTTGAGGATGCAAACAGTTTTGTTTCAAGTGCATTGTTAAAACAATATAAATACAAAGCATTTATTCCAGCAGCTAATGTGACCCGTATGGGAGTGGTTAGAGGAGTGCCAACTGATTGGACTGATGATGAGGTTAAAACTAGTATTTCAGTGCCCATAGGTTGTGGTGATATTTTAAAGGTCAGACGGTTTAAAAGGAAAGTAACAAGTAATGGTAAAACTGAATTTGTCCCTACTGAGACTGTTGTCCTGACCTTTGATGGCCAGGTCTTACCTAAGCGTGTGTTTCTTTGCTATAACTCATTACCAGTGAATTTGTATATATTTCCAACAATTCAATGTTTCAATTGTTGTAGATATGGTCATGTCAAAAGCCAGTGCCGATCTACTCCCAGGTGCTTTAGATGTGGTCAGGGACACTCAGGAGATAGATGTACTGTTGAAGAAAGTGTTTGTTGCCTGTGCTCCGGTCCTCACTGTGCTACAGATAGGAAATGTCCAGAATTTGATAGGCAAAAGGGAATTAAGGAAACTATGGCTAAAAATTGTCTGTCTTATGGTGAAGCCTTGAAGTTACATCCACCCATTACTAAGTCTTATGCAAGTGTCCTAATGTCTTCTCCTCCGCCATCTCCATCAATTGAATATAACTCTAACTTATCTAACAATAGCAACAGGTCATATAATAAAACAGTATACTTAAAACCCAAAGCTCCACCTAAACACGGAAAGGGCTATGATCGAGTAGCCCATAGTGAGTTAGTAAAAGATTATAATGCTCCTCAGCCTGAAAATGGATGTGCCTTAAATAACCATGACCCTAATTCCCTTTTTAACATACCTATTAAAGATTTAATTATTGCATTAATAACATCATTATCTAAGTCTAATTTAGTTTCTTTACCGTCCAACGTTGCCATACCTAATAATAGTATACAAGAAAGTAATTCTCAAAATGGATCAAAGCTCTCTAGTGTTGCAGTGGAATTGCCGCAGCATTAGTAGTAAGAAAAGTGAACTTTTTTATATAATTAACAAGTTTAAACCATTTGCTGTGTCTCTTCAAGAGACATGGCTTCAACCTCATGTATATTTTAGAGTACCTGGCTTCTCTTGTATAAGAGAAGACAGAAGTGATGGCTACGGCGGTGTAGCTATCCTTGTAAATAGATCTATTTCCTTCACCCACATACCCATTCCCCAGCATAATAGTGATTTCTCAATTATAGCAGTTAGTATAAGTAATATTTCATTTGTTTCCCTTTATATTCCTCATCCATCCTCAGCAATATTTGATGAAGTGGAGAATTTATTAGTTAATATTCCTAAACCAGTTTTAATTATGGGAGACCTCAATGCCCAACACCAGTCCTGGGGCAGCTCTAAATCAAACTTCTATGGCTCTAGAACTTTAGATATATTGGATCATTTAAATTTATGTTTATTAAATACCGGCGAGCCGACGCGACGGACTTTACCTAACGAAGGTATTAGTATACCAGATTTATCTATTTGCACACCTAACTTAGCTTCTTCTTTAACCTGGACAACATTAAGCTCGTCATTCGGGAGTGATCACTTTCCTGTTGTAATTACATTTCCTAATGAAGTAGGTAAAACATCCGAAAGGCGCCCACCTCGTATGAAGTATAGGTTAGCTGATGCAAATTGGTATGCATTCCAACAGGAAGTTCAACGCCACATCTCCTCATTACCTAATGTCTCTAGTAATAATCATTCAGAGTGCGCGGAAGCAATATCTCAATTGCTAATTAAAACAGCTGATGAAATGTTTGCCACTAAAAATCATAACCCAAATACAATCCCACCCCCTCCCTGGTGGGACCAAGATTGTTTGACAGCTGTCAAAAATAGGAAAGAGGCAGAGAGGCATTATAGGTCCGAATCTACTGTTGAGAATTTTGATTATCTGATGGAAGTAATGACTGCCACTCGAAAACTGCTTAAGAAAAAAAAGTGGGAGGGCTGGCAGTCCTTCTGTGCATCAATTTCTCCGGATGTTTCCCCATCGCTAATTTGGTCCAATATCCGTAGATACAGATCTATATTTAAAGAACCTCAACCTTATAACATGGATGATAATGTAATAGACCAATTTCTAGATAAGCTAGCTCCTCCTTCTGTACCTTTATGCACCGTATTTACAAACCCATCCCTGAACAATTCTTTCCAAAGTAATTCTGGATCTTTGAATGAGCCCTTTACTCTTTGTGAATTAAAAGGAATTTTGTCCTATGTCAAAGATTCATCCCCAGGAGAGGATGGAATTCCTTACTCTTTTTTCTCGCACCTTAGTGATTCTAGTCTTTCCTATTATTTAACATTAATAAATTCTATAATGCTTAACGGTAATGTCCCAAATACATGGAAATCACAAGAAATAATTCCGATTTTAAAACCTGGTAAATTAAGCTCTGACCCTAATTCATATAGACCGATTGCACTTTCATTAGTAATTTTTAAATTAGCTGAGCACCTTGTTAAGAACCGCTTAGAATGGTTTGTAGAAAGCGCAGGGTTATTAAGTAACAATCAATATGGTTTCAGAAAGGGTAGAGGGACTATGGACAGTATTGGGATATTAACTACTGACATTCGCCTAGCATTTTCTTCTAATGAGTCNGTTAATATTCCAAAACCAATTTTAATTATGGGAGACCTCAATGCCCAGCACCAGTCCTGGGGCAGCTCTAGATCAAACTTCTATGGCTCTAGAACTTTAGATATATTGGATCATTTAAATTTATGTTTATTAAATACCGGTGAGCCGACGCGGCGGACTTTACCTAACGAAGGTATTAGTATACCAGATTTATCTATTTGCACACCCAATTTAGCTTCTTCTTTAACCTGGACAACATTAAGCTCGTCATTCGGAAGTGATCACTTTCCTGTTGTAATTGCATTTCCTAATGAAGTAGGTAAAACATCCGAAAGGCGCCCACCTCGTATGAAGTATAGGTTAGCTGATGCAAATTGGTATGCATTCCAACAGGAAGTTCAACGCCAGATCCCCTCGTTACCTAATGTCTTAAGTAGTAATCATTCAGAGTGCGCGGAAGCAATCTCTCAATTGCTAATTAAAACAGCTGATGAAATGTTTGCCACTAAAAACCATAATTCAAATAAAATCCCTTCTCCTCCCTGGTGGGACCAAGATTGTTTGACAGCTGTCAAAAATCGGAAAGAGGCAGAGAGGTACTATAGGTCTGAATCTACTGTTGAGAACTTTGAATATTTGATGGAAGTAATGAGTGCCACCCGGAAATTGCTCAAGAAAAAAAAGTGGGAAGGCTGGCAGTCCTTCTGTTCATCAATATCTCCGGATGTTTCCCCATCAGTAATTTGGTCCAATGTCCGTAGATACAGATCTATATTTAAAGAACCTCAACCATATAACATGGATGATACTGTAATAGACCAATTTTTAGATAAACTAGCCCCTCCTTCTGTACCATTAGCATTTACAAACCCATCCATGAACAATTCCCTCCATAGTAATTCTGGATCTTTGAATGAGCCCTTTACTCTCTGTGAATTAAAAGGAATTTTGTCCTATGTTAAAGATTCATCACCAGGAGAGGATGGAATTCCTTACTCCTTTTTCTCGCACCTTAGTGATTCTAGTCTTTCCTATTATTTAACATTGATAAATTCTATAATGCTTAACGGTAATGTCCCAAATGCGTGGAAATCACAAGAAATAATTCCGATTTTAAAGCCTGGTAAATTAAGCTCTGACGCTAATTCATATAGACCGATTGCACTTTCATTAGTAATTTTTAAATTGGCTGAGCACCTTGTTAAGAATCGCTTAGAATGGTTCGTAGAGAGCACAGGGTTATTATGTAACAATCAATATGGTTTCAGAAAGGGTAGAGGAACTATGGACAGTATTGGGATATTTACTACCGATATTCGCCTAGCATTTTCTTCTAATGAGTCACTTATAGCGGCCTTCCTAGATATCAAATCTGCATATGACAACGTCCTAATTAATTTACTTATAAATAAACTTCATCGACTTAGAATTCCATCTATATTAGTTAATTTTGTTATTAATATACTCTCAGAGCGATATATCAGTGTATTTCATGATGACCGTTTCTACAAAAGGTTTGTTTGGAAGGGATTGCCACAAGGATCCGTCTTAAGTCCCTTGTTGTTCAACTTGTATACATATGATTTAGATTTAGCACACAATAATCAAGTCAGTATACTACAGTATGCTGATGACTTGCTTTTGTATATTTCGGGTGCCTCTGTCCAGAACATAACTAATTCTTTGACAAATAGTTTGCTTGCTCTCAAAAACTGGTTAGATGAAAATGGCCTAAGTATTTCGGTTCCCAAAAGTTCAGTAATTTTATTTACTAGAATGAGAGTGCCTCCATCTGTATCCGTTCTCTATGATGGTAGCGCCATCCCAGTTAAAAATGATGCTAAATTTTTGGGTGTCACGCTAGATGCAAAACTAACTGCCGTCCCTCACTGTTACAATATAGCTGCTAAATGTGAAAAGCTACTTAATATTCTAAGATGCGTTTCTGGAGTCTGGTGGGGTGCCCATCCAGCCTCATTAAGACTGTTGTACAATGCAATCATAAGAAGCGTATTGGACTATGGTAGTTTTTTCTTAGAACCATGTAATTTAATTGGCTTAAATAAATTGGATGCAATCCAATCTAAAGCACTCCGGATTGTGGCTGGTGCTATGAAATCGAGTCCGATCAATGCCCTTCAAGCCGAATGTGTTGAGCCACCTTTGAGATTGCGCCGCCAATATTTATGCGACAAATACCTATTTCGCGTTCTTCAACAATTAAATCATCCAATTTACAGTAAGCTTAACAGATTGTCTGATTTAGTTGATACTTCCCCTTATTGGTCTCGCAAATCCCCACCTTGCTTAGTTATAAGTTACCGCAAATTTGTATCTATTCAAGCTCCAGTACACAGATCCTGCTTCCTTCCGCTTTTTACTGTCAATTTTGAGTCCCTGATCCTTACGCCGATAGTTCACCTAAATTTAGATGTAAACAAAGATGACCGTAATGCTGATGTTAAATTTCGACAGATATTAAGTGAGNAAGCGTATTGGACTATGGTAGTTTTTTCTTAGAACCATGTAATTTAGTTGGCTTAAATAAATTGGATGCAATCCAATCTAAAGCACTTCGGATTGTGGCTGGTGCTATGAAATCGAGTCCGATCAATGCCCTTCAAGCCGAATGTGTTGAGCCACCCTTGAGATTGCGCCGCCAATATTTATGCGACAAATACCTATTTCGCGTTCTTCAACAATTAAATCATCCAATTTACAGTAAGCTTAACAGATTGTCTGATTTAGTTGATACTTCCCCTTATTGGTCTCGCAAATCCCCACCTTGCTTAGTTATAAGTTACCGCAAATTTGTATCTATTCAAGCTCCAGTACACAGATCCTGCTTCCTTCCGCTTTTTACTGTCAATTTTGAGTGCCTGATCCTTACTCCGACAGTTCATCTTAATTTAGATGTAAACAAAGATGACCGTAATGCTGATGTTAAATTTCGACAGATATTAAGTGAAAACTGGCATGGTTGGCATCATCTTTACTGTGATGCATCTAAACACTCACCAACGGGTCACGTTGGAGTTGGCGTATTCCATCAACAATATCGAATTTTTCAACAAGTTAAACTTCCTCCTGAGTCGTCTGTTTTTACAGGGGAATGTTATGGAATATTTAAATCCTTAGAGTACGTTCTTCTCATGAGATTAGACAAGACTGTTATCTTTTCCGATTCCAAAAGTGCTTTGCAGGCATTATTAAAATTTCCGTTTAAGAGTAATACCAGTTATCCCGTTATCATGGAATGCAGACAATTATTGTATAAATGCCATTTAAACAGTTATTCAATACATTTTGCTTGGATACCTAGTCATAGTAACATTACAGGGAACGATAAAGCCGATAAGCTAGCCAATGAAGCGATTGAATGTGGAGATATTTATCCATATACAAATTATTGTCATGATTTAACAGCAGCCCTTCCCAAAACTTATCTCAGATCTGCCTGGGAGGAGAATTGGGAAGTGACTACTCAATCTAAGGGGAAGCATTATAAACTTATTCAACCATCTATTCCTTTTAAGCCATGGTTTGCTAAAATGAACCTTTCAAAAAGAGTTACTACCACTTTGACGAGAATGAGACTTGGTCACTTGTGCACTCCAGCACATTTGGCCAAAATTCATGTTATAGACAGTGATATGTGTTCCTGTGGATCTGATGTGGGAGATATGAACCACATATTTTTTAATTGTAGCCTTTATGACCGTTCCTCTTTTATTAGCTCGCTTTTATCCATCCATGTTCCTTTCCCTACCTCTATCACTTGCCTCTTAAACTCTAATGATAGTAAAATCTATAATATTTTAGCTGCATTTATTACTCATAATAACATCAAGCTGTAAATAATGTATGATAGTATTTTTATGTAAATTTTTTTTTTTTTTTTTTATCCTTAACCACTATAAACACTGATTCCATCCTATCACACAATATCTTTGTTCCGTTTCCTTCCGTAATCATAATTCGTTTCCCTACCTTTTAACCTAATCCCACCCTGTCTAAACGCAAAACGCAATGTCCGAAAAACCAAACGCAAAAGTCAAGAACATTCTTTGTCAAGAACCACATCAAGAACTCTGTCGTGGCTAAACGCAATCCGCGAGAGCCATAAAGAAGAAAAAAAAAAAAAAAACTAGGAAATAAATAACTTCTAAATTCTATTACACGTTCTTATTGGTGAGTTTACAATTATATTATTATTTAACAATAATTTTCTCCGTTTCAATTTTGTGTAACCTCATGTTTTTTTTTGCGAACTCAAGGAGAATCTGTCGTCCACATTTACCGGTTGGGACTTCGAGACAAAGATATTTTGAGTTTACACGCCATGTATATTTAAATCATGACTGGAAACGTGATAAATGATACATGAAATGAAATCCTGAATAATTCCAGTTATTCAAATGCTTCAGTGTCTGTTTCTATGTCGCGAATTTGATGTGTCAAATGGTTTTCCTGTTGGATTCCAACGAAATATTTCGTGAAATTCGAATTGGATTGGTTGTCAAATACAAAGATTCGATATTTAGGTGAGTATTTGTGTCGATGGGGTGTTTTTTGTTGAATAATTATCGTGAAATTTGTGAAGTAACTCGCAAATGCTGTCGTTTTACTCGACTGCAGGAAGAAGGATCAAGCTTGCTCGTGTCAGTATAAACGCGGCAAATATTTCTGGCTTCAACAGGTGTAACAACAATTATTTCTGTTTAACTATGTTATATCTCACACATAATGTATTTCTTGCTATATTTACACCAATTACCGATTCTGTATTGTATAACCTAAGTTACAACATCACAGCAGTAAATGATGAAGCCAGAATATATGATAAAGACAAAAAGTTAAAATATGCAAGTGAAATGTGAACCTGCATGTTACTTGGTCATAAAAAAAAATATGTTTAATCCTTGTAAACTTAAAAACTATTGTTTGTATGCCATTCAAATATAACTATTTTAATGTTTTAACCCTTAATTGGATAAGCAAGCTAAAATATAACATTTTTTTAGACTGCAAATGAAGTTACAAAGTTCAAAGTAAAGTGGATAATACTAACATTGACTGTTTGAGGGTTAATGAATAGCACTTCCAATATTTCCCAATATTATTGACCAATATTGGATGGAAGTCATGAAAATAGATGAGTCAAATGAATAAAGCTTCTGAAGCTATGTCATATCAATTACCTGTTAAAAACCCTTTAAAAGGAGACTGACAAGTTTCTTGCGCTGCTTCTTCTCAGCACTGGCCCATTTATTGTCCCGAAGCAGTGGTAGGGTTAATACTGGGACGTGTGAAAGAGCTTTTTAAAAGCCTATTTGCAGAAATAAACGAGTTTTATAAGTTTTTAATGTAAACCCAACCACTGAGCCAATGAGGGCTATCGTTTTAGCGCCACTGTAGAGTAAGGTCCTGTCACTTGCTAGTAGCGAAGACAGTGGCGCCAACTTGTGAGCGCTAAAGTGGTAGGAGGACTATCGCATTTGCACTCATCAAGATGGCGCCACTGTAGAGTAAGGTCCTGTCAATCGCCAGGGGTGCCAACTGTTAAGTATAAAAACGATAGCCCTCATTAGAAAAGTGAATGATTGTTATGAAAACTACAAAAGAACTTCTTGGGTTCACTGTTTCTTTTTTGTTATTTTCCATGTTATGACTCACCAATTAATGTTCGTAGAAACTTATTTAAAAGCCTAATAATTCCACAAACTTCCATAATACTTAAAAAACAGTCCTTGTTTTTACACTTATAAGATTTGTTTTTGAGTATTTTTAGATTCTTACTAGTTAAATTAAAAAAATAAATATCTGAGTAAAAAATATTAAGAAGTTGTACCATTCTGTTTTAATTTAATTTTCTTGAATGAAAAAGAAACTAATTGGTTGCATTGCAATATTATAATAAACTAGCGGCCGCCCGCAACTTAGTACGCGTGGATACCCCCTAGGGGTAGAGTTTCGTAAAATCCTTTCTTAGCGGATGCCTACGTCATAACATCTACCTGCATGCCAAATTTCAGCCCGATCCGTCCAGTGGTTTGGGTTGTGTGTTGATAGATCACTATGTCAGTCAGTCAGTCACCTTTGAGTTAATAATATTTAGATTCTCTCAATATCCAAATAAACTAAGTACCTAAATATACTTGCACAGTGGAATAGCAACTACACAATTGACCAATTTAGAAAAATTGGGTACGTAGTTATTGTGTCTTGATTGATCCAAATAAAAACAAATTACTACCATTTAATTTGAAAAGTTCTCGAGTGGCGACCACGGGCTGGAAGACGTAGCGTGGGCAGGCCTACTAGCTGGACCGACGATCTGGTGAAGGTCGCGGGAAGAGCCTGGATGCGGGCAGCACAGGACCGTGCATTGTGGAAAACCTTGGGGGAGGCCTTTGTTCAGCAGTGGACGTCATTTGGCGGAAACGAACGAACGAACGAATTAGTAACATGACTAACATGCAAAAATGACATAGAAAATCAGATTCATTACATATTAAGAGTAGTCTTTGTTATACTAATAAATATGTACATGCATTTTATTGATAAGAACATAAAGTAAATGTTTTTAGTTTACTTTATCTCATGTTGATTGTAGAAGTCTAATAAACCGTTATCTGCTATAATATAGGCTTTTATCAAGCTAAAGGTCTCGACACAACAATAATAAAGATTCCACAATACTTGATGTATTCTTATATAAGCTATGATTTGTTATGTTGCTAGACCGGAAATAAATAAATAATAACAATAAATATCTGACGGAATAAACCAGTAATTCTAAGGCACAAATCTAAAACAACACTTAGTTCTAGCACAGAATAATAATAAGTACTAGGTATGTACAGAAGTTTTACTTCGCGAAGGTATTTAAAAAAATATGCTCAATGTCATTAACAATATGGTGTAATTTAGCCTGTCTCAAGAGTAAAGCACCATTTTGTTGACAAACGTCAGTGACTGACTTCGGTAAAATGATGTGACGTGAGGTGCCAAACTGCGGAAAATGGCGGAGGAAATACATTTAGCATGAATTATCATGAATAATATTAACTACTTATTTACCTCTTAGTGTCTTGAGGCAACTTAAAAAGTACATTTTGTGTTTTATTATTATTTAGGCAGTTAAATAATGCATAGTATTTATGTATGATGGAAGAAAATAAAGAAAATGGTGTACCATTTTCTTTATTTTCTTCCATCATACACAAGAATACGCGTGCGTGAGTCAATGTTCGCTCGTATCATATGTGAGGCCTTGTCGAATAGTATCCTGTAGGTGGGCCATCGTGCGTATTTTGTTTTCGATGTAAACTCGCGGTGATGAACAGGCCTGTGGTGGAATTGTGTAAAGCAATCGTAATCATTTGACAGTTCATAACGTACGATTAAGTCAGATAAACAAAGCGTTTGACAGAATAATCGTACGTTATGAACTGTCAAATGATTACGATTGCTTTACACAATTGCACCTCTGGTTCTAGTCCCCAAAACTGAAGTATCAGAACTGCTCCTATCTATTACTATTACTTTTATTTATTTTAAGTGGTCGACAGTGGTGATTGTGAGTTTGTTGTGTTTCTTCTCAGCACTTGCCAAATGTTTTTTTTATTTATTAGTCTTATTTTTGTTGTCTTAAAAAATGTTTTGAAACAACACCCTGTTGCCTAATTCACGTATTTTGACAGTCAAGATCTCGCTGACGTTCAGAAGTCGTCCCATTGAGAACAGTTCTATGTCTTCACAAGGGTCATTATTTTGATAGAACGATTGCTCGATAGGATCGCAACTCAGCGATTTGTTGTCATTGACGTTTTGTTACGTCGTTCCATTGCAAAACAGTTCTAAATCCGTATTTATAAGGGTCATTTTGATAGAACGATTACTCGATAGGATCGCATTCAGTGATTTGTTGTCGTTGAAGTTTTGTTACGTGAATGAGGCTACAGATCTTCATCGCCTAAAAGAGGCTAAGATTATGTAATCCTTATGCCCGTTTTCACCATGAGTCCCTAATTTTTAAGTGACCCCTATGACAACAAAATGCCTGTTATGTGTCATCATAGGGGTCGGTTAAAAATTAGGGATTGATGGTGAAAACGGGCATTAGTCAATATAATTAACTAGCTTTCCGCCCGCGGCTTCGCCCGCGTGGAATTTTGTCTGTCACAGAAAAACTTTATCGCGCGCGTCCCTGTTTCAAAAACCGGGATAAAAACTATCCTATGTTCTTTCCCGGGACTCAAACTATCTCTATGCCAAATTTCATTAAAATCGGTTGCGAGGTTTAAGCGGGAAAGCGTAACAGACAGACAGACAGAGAGTTACTTTCGCATTTATAATATTAGTTGGGATAAGTATGCAACCCACTCAGGTTGGAACTGCTCAGTCAACTATTTCTTCTTTCTTCCTGTTTTCTTATAGTACTGACGTCTTTTTTATGTATCCATTTGTCTTTGAGTGATATCCATTGTACCTAATAAACGTTCTTTGGTTAATTCCAGGCAGCTGAGATGTCGACACCGGGTCGCGGGCGCGGCTACACCGGGCGCCACCATCTACGCGAGCCTCGCCCGGGGGACGACCCTGCTGACCTCGACGCAGCCAGGACGCTCGCCGAGCTGTCCCCTAGGGCCACAGGTACATACTACAGCAGTGACGTCACACCGGGCGCCACCATCTACGCGAGCCTCGACCGGGGGACGACCCTGCTGACCTCGACGCAGCTAGGACTCTCGCCGAGCTGTCCCCTAGGGCCACAGGTACATACTACAGCAGTGACGTCACTCGGGGCGCGAGTGTGATACACCGGGCGCCACCACCTGGCCTAGGTACTATCTGGACCCTCGCCAAGCTGTCTCCCAGGGCCACAGGTACATACTACAGCAGTGACGTCACACCGGGCGCCACCATCTACGCGAGCCTCGACCAGGGGACGACCCTGCTGACCTCGACGCAGCTAGGACTCTCGCCGAGCTGTCCCCTAGGGCCACAGGTACATACTACAGCAGTGACGTCACACCGGGCGCCACCATCTACGCGAGCCTCGCCCGGGGGACGACCCCGCCGACCTCGACGCAGCCAGGACTCTCGCCGAGCTGTCCCCTAGGGCCACAGGTACCAACGAAGATAGGTAGAAGGCAGCGATGATACAGGATGCGAGCGTAGGCAGCAGTGATGGGATTTCAGCTACACGGGGCGTTGTCAACTGACCTGAATATTATCTGGATCGTCGCCGAACTGTCCCCTAGGGCCACAGGTACTGATAACGGAGGCGAAGGCATATGCATACAGCAGCGATAACACAGGATGCGAGCGTAGACAACAGCGATGGGATTCCGGCTACACTGACCGGGATTGAGTCAGGATCCTTGATGGGCTCCCCTAAGGCTACCGGTACTGACGTCTCCGCTATAGGTAGCGCTGTAGGCAGCAGTGATTTCACCCGGATCGCGAGTATGATTCATCGGGCGTCATCATCCGACCTAGGTACTGTCTGGACCTTCGCCGAGCTGTCTCCTAGGGCCACAGGTACATACTACAGCAGTGACGTCTCCCAGGGACTAGATGACGCTGTGTAAACGTTCATAAATTATATTAATCACAAATATGAAAATAATGACACAGAGAAATAAGCCTACAAAACTCAATACTTAATTGCTTCACCACATTATCATTTAGGTCTTACAATTCAAGCAGATCAATGGGGACCCAGTTAGAGCACAGCAACCTTTGAAACTCACCATTTTTCATTCATTCATTCATCAAATAATACCATTTTTATCAACCACAAACTTTTTTTCTCTGGCTCAAACTTCGAAATCCAAAGCCGTGATCACGCACCACAAACTGTTATGGCGCAAATACACTATGCGGGACGTAATAGTGTAAACACCATCTCGGTTACTTTTTCCTTCCCCCACCCGTGCGTCGTCCATACTTCGGTTCGCTTCGCGCTTAGTCCCGGTCAATTTTCCGCATAGTGTACTTGCGTCATTAGACAGGTGCATTCATAAACTACCTGTTGACCTGTCATCACCTGTTCAAACCATATTTGTATTTTCTTCACTTCTAAAATTTCTCATCATGGCATCAAATCACAATTGTGTAATAAAAGAAACAGTCGTCACTTCTGCGATTTCAGAACCGAGAACAGAAGTAAAGGAGAAGTCAGAGGACACAGAAAAGGAGGACGTCGGGAAAGAAGTGAAGCAGGAAGTGAAATACCACGTGAATATTGAAGATGAGGGCTTGAAAGAACTGCTGACTATTGATGAGCAGTTCAGGCCCTTATTAGTTTTGGTGAGTGGCTTTATATTATTACTTGTAAAACATCTTAGCGTCAAAAGATGGTATTTTGTTAAGAATTTGAGTTGAAAATAATAACTCTTTTAGAAGAGTGGAGCCTTTGCCTTAAAGTGGGACGTGATTCTGCCTGTTTTTACCGACTACTAAATAAATTGTTCCTATAATATTTCACCTGAATCTCCTCATCCAGTACTTAAGTTAATTTTGAAATCAAAACAAATGTAAAAACTTTTAGTGGATTTTTCGTCAGTAATTTTTGATTGTTGTGCCTTTTCTAAAATAGTTTAACTTATTTATTACTCGATAAAAATCCTTATGACTCTATAAAATACCACGATACGTATCGTGGTATTTTATTGATCTTGGGCGAATCTATCATATTTTATCCTTTTAGGCCAAGGAAAAAAAGGCTCTCTTGTAATATTGTTGGTTTTTGTTGTGTATCAAATAAAAATATATTTTAATCTTCACTGGTCATCACAAAAATCGACCCTCCCGCGACAAGCACTTTCAAACGTATGCAGCATCCCCACTTCCCACTAATATTGGCACCATTTAAAAGCCTAGTTCTAAACTTAATTTCATTAAAGGAAAGGTTTTTACCCCAAAAATGTGTCTGTAGAAGAATCCAGAGTCACTTCTTCAAAAAATAGGTAGTTACGCTTGAGCCAACTTTTATGGCTATAACTGTTAAGTTGGGAATAATCGCTATCAATCTGTTAAAGAGGACACGTGAAATCATTATTTGGTTTTATAACCATAAAAATTGGTCTAATTGATCCCAGAGTTGAGCCCAAAGTGAGGTCTTTTTTCAAGTCACATTTATTGCATATGTTAATCGTTTAAATCGTTTATTAAGAAACTAGATGTGTTTTTCTTTAAGGATATTTATTGGGCTTTCAAATAACACCAATATTGTTGGGACACCATGATTGTGTCAATAGAAACGAGTTTTCCTGTAAAACGTAGGTGGGCCGATTTTTGTGATGACCAGTATATTTGGTTTATTATACCTCGACGCTATGCATTCAGCGAAGGACCGAGGAAATTTATGTGGGAGGCCTTTGTCCAGCAGTGGACGTCATTTGGCCCAAACAATCGATGGGCTTATGATGATGAATGATATTGATAACGAAATTAATCCATTCACAGTTGGAACAGTTCTCTCTCGGCGAAGATGGCATACAGTTCAACAGGAAGCTACGTCACTTCGAGTCCACAGTCACCACCATGTGCCCAGACGAAGCCAGGCTGCAGTGAGTTATTTTTATTTCCTACTGTTACTCATAAAATTATTTGGATTGCAATGGTAACAGAATTTGTCAAAGCGGTGCAGTAGTTTCGGAGCCTATTCAATACAAACAAACAATAAAATCTTTTCTCTAATATTAGTATAGACTAGCTTNGTTTACTGCTCCAGCATCCTTCCTTAACTCTATAATTATTGATGGGGATAGTTGTGAAATAAATATTTTTATTTAAAGAAGTACTACCCCCTTATTAATAAAAAGTTACACCTAGGAAGAACCTTGGATTAAAATGACATTTCCATATCAAATGACAATTTAAGCCAGAGTTCAACTAGGGTGTAACTTTTATTAATACAGGGGTTAAAGTTTTATTACTTCGTAAGGGCTTTATTATGAGTTGCTAAAGCGAATAAACCCACAAGACCCAATAAGTCCACCCACAAGATGGACCGACGACCTCCTAAAGGTAGCGGGAAGGGGCTGGATGCAGGCCGCCACCAACCGGCCATTGTGGAAATCATTGGGGGAGGCCTATGTTCAACTGGACGTCCTATGGCTAAAATGATCATGATGATGATGATGAAAGCGAATAAAGGGCTAATAGCTTGGGTAGTTCATCGTACGTATAATCCTTTCCTTTTCAATGCTTCTTTTAGTTATATTAATAGATTATAGTCATAATACATACTCGTATACATGGATGATTGTGTTATACTTTCATTATAATACTTAGTGGAATTACTGCTTTCAAAACGTGAATTAGAACTGGCCCCATAGCAGACATTTTCCTACATCTAAAGACCTTTTAAAATATATATTGGTTATGGCTATTGGAGCGGGTACCACTTTCCATACATTTGTGCCCATCATCCTTTCAAGTGCATATCGCACGTTCATAATCAAACCGTCACTATACAAAAAAGTCGATTTTTCAGGAAAAACATTTGAATTACTCAAATTTTAATACCTTTGCAAAGTGTGCAAAATGTTCTTAAATGTTTTGTTTTTTGTTGAATACCAGTAGTGGCTTGTTTGGCTTTTACGGGAATATAATTATCTTTCAAATTACCATAATNATGTAGGTATTTTATAAAAGTGGAACCCCGAGTGATCTCCAAAACCCATTCTATTATTATATACGATTCGGCTTCGATATCTATAATACAATAGGAGTTTATTTCATGTGTCAGATGACAAGGGTGGAAACAACCTACGATTCATGTTGTTTATTTACGTGCAATATGTGGGCATATTGTAAAAGTGGAATGCCGAGTTGTATTTCTAAAACTTGTTCTATTATTTTATACTATTTGGCTGCGACTCGGCGTGACGACAATACAAAACATTTTTCGCGAATCGGTGTTCATACATTCACACAATACATTAGACGCCATGTTGTCATAAACGACATATTATAAAATCGCTGTGATTTAATATTCTTAATCATTAATTTTATGGCAAGTGTCCATCAGGAATCATTGTTCTTACACACAGAATCGTATTATTTCGCTTTCGGGTAGTAATATGTCAAAATTGTTGGTTCTTTAGGCGAACAATGTATGGAGAACGAACATTGTCCTTTAGCCATATACTCGTACAATATTTTTGTAGAGTAACTTCTATAAATAAATGAAAAGAAAAGAAAAGAAAATATAGAACGCGCTTTTCATCATTATCATCATCATTTCAGCCATAGAACCTCCACTGCTGAATATAGGCCCTGTTAATGATTTCCATCGCCCGGTTGATAGCGACCTGCATCCAGCTCTTTCCGACTAACTTTACGAGGTCGTTGGTCCACCTTGAATCATCACCGTACCGAACGCGCTTTTAGGATCACAAAATGTAGAGGCAAAAAACCAAATCAATTTACGGCCATGCCACATAGATTTAGAAGGTTGGCTCTACATGAAGTCTAAAATTTCACTTATAATTTTCACAGTGTGAGCCTATGGTTCGTCTTAGCAACATTTATAAGCATGTACACTAAGAAGAACTACACTGTATCTAACAATTGCAAATAAATCATACAAAAAAAAGATACAAAATTAGTATTAAGTTCCAAAGTGACCTTAAAAAGGGACTAAAGCTGGAGATTTAAAATATTTCAAATGTTAGTTTTATTTTTCAGCTGAAATTTCCAAAGTGTACCCTGTAAAGTACTGTTCAAACATGGCGGCGTTATAATTGCCGCTCACAGTGACGGCGCGCGTTATGAACTATGCTGGGACAACACTGCTATGGACTCGCCTTTAAAAGCATGGCTTTAATTTATTCTTTTCTTTTTGCCTCTACAACCCGATCAAGCTAACTGCGTACCTCTCTGGAGTGCGACTCTCCCTCGCACTCACCCGCACACCTTCCCGCGTTTGCCACGTCCGTACCAGAGCGGGGATGTGACGTCACGACTGCCAAGTGTGCAGTTAACTCAATCGGGTTGTAGTTCAGTCACATGTAGGGTTGCCAAGCGTCCGGCTGTAGCCGGATATGTTTGGCTTTTAAGGGACTTGTCCGGCCAAAAATTGCCTTGTCCGGCCTGTCCGGCTTTTGTTAGGCTTTTTATTTGGTTGTCGAGCCACAGAATCATGTGAAGCGCACGCATCAGGATTTTGGTTAGCAACCGATGATGATAGTACTCACTCATGAGCTGACAGTAATTGCACTGGCTTTTGTGATTTTGGACCTGGCAACCCTAGTCACATGTCATCCGTTTTTCACGGGAGAGGTTCTCTTCTTCGAACTCTTCTATGTTCTTCTTATTAATTTCGTTGCGGGTCCAATGACAGTTAACTTTCGCCCGGGACAAACTTTACCCTCACTGATTGGGTTTTTATTGGCGGTCAAGCTGTAGATCCTGGCTACACAGAAGTTGCAGCGGTGGGAACGAGAGGTGGCAATAGTCCTAATCTGCCGCCTCTGTTGTCCTGAGTTCGATTCCCAATGAGGCTAGGCACATGACTGTGTTCCTGGAGTTAGTTAGATAGTAGAATCCTCTATGATTAAGGATTCGGTAAAGTTCGCTTTGACCATCATAATCTTCATTTCAGCCACAGGACGTCCACATTTACTAATTTCCTTATTGGCCGGTTGGTAGTACTAGCAGCCTTCCTGCTGCCTTTATGAAATCTTCTGCCCAACTCGTGTGTAGTCAACATAATATCTGACACAAACTTACAGACTTTATACTCAGTTACATCTAAAAAGTGACCTAAATAAGCTCAAATACCTTTTGTTTCGTCCTTGAATGAAACTATTATTCGAGCTACCTAGAAACCTAGNGTCATAAGTATCGTCTTGCATATAGGTCGATCCAGATAACAATTTAGGTTCCGTAGTGCGCAACAATTCCTTATGACCCAACAGAAATTCACTCCACAAACCTTCAAGTAGTTCCAACTTTCCTTCTAAATACTCCTTGGTCAAACGCTCATTCGGACCTTTTTGGAAATTCGTCTTAGCTTTTTTTATTCTTGACGCAAGGTCAAACTGACAATTTTGTAATCGTTCCATCATAAATGACAGTTAAATTAAAATGTAAACAAACTTCCAAAAAATAGTAAAAAATTCTAAGTGTTTGACAATTCTAACAGAAATTGGGCATAGGTTCCCCGTAGCAACCGCTTTTTCAAAACTATTCTAAGTCCTAAACTATTATTCTAAGTCAATGTAAACAATTTAAAATTTCTAAGTTAAACTACCAGTGTAAATAAAGTCCAAAATCCTTCAACTTTCTTCTCAATACTAAAATGCCAAAAGAGTACTCACAGTTATATCCGTTTCACTCACACACTATCACAATAGACGGCAAACTCTTCATCCAACACGAACTTCTTCGGGCTCCGACACGAACTCCTTAGGGCTCCAACACGACTCCCTTAGGGCTCTCCACCAGATGGCGCCACCTCAGCGCAGCACCACCATCATCATCTCCTGATCTTCCTCAACCAGTTGGTTGCCCTGACAGCACCACAGCTGGTACTGTCAAACTGATGTCAACAGCTCCTAGCTGACCCAGCTTCTTGACCTGTCCTGTTTGTGACAGCGATCCACTGTCCAGGACGTCACCCCCCTCCAAAAATGCACAAAGTGTAATCCCGGTACCTGCACCGTTACCAGTGCCCAATGGACATCAGCTTCCTGATGATATCCGGCTCGAAGGACCATGAATAAACCACGGATACTCTCGGCGCACTTAAGGGACTCTTATCTAGGTATAAATAAGACGTCAATATTTAGGTGACAATTTATTGCTTGTCACAGGTTGTCAATGGTTCACAATGGTTGTCAAAGGTACACAGATGTCAAAATACTCCAGGTATATAAAGCCAAGGAAAAAAATCTGGACACCGCGGTACAGCTTTACGCGTCTCAAAGTACAGTGACATCTCTCGGCAAATAATACAAACAAGTTTCATGGAAGGTTTATACATATCGCCCACCAAGGACCGTCCTAGGTCCTTAACAACAGGAAAACCAAATGAAACTTAGGCGAATGCATCGCCCACCATGAAACAGGTTACGGTACACATTAACAATAAACATAAAATAAACCATGTAAAAAACCATTGTACCGTAAAATAATAAAAACACTTTCAATAAACTTAAAACCTTAAAACTAAATAAACTACAATTATTTAGCCTTAGGAAGGAGACCAAATCTTAAAACCTTGAAACTAACAACTCTATCATCGTCGTTACCGGGATGAACCACAATCACCCTGCCACTGAGCCAAGACCCGTAGCTAGTTGTCCTCCTTTATGACAACTAAATCATCAACTGTTAGGTTGAGGAATTTGCATAGATAGTCCACTTCTTTCTTTCCCTTACGACGTTCATGAAGCTGTGATTCTTACAAGTCTCCAACCAAATCGCAACATGTTGTTAACAACGGGAAAAGGATTCAAGAACCGGAGAAACTACGATGGGTAAGTATCAATTTTCGTTTTACCTTTCAACATCAGCACTAAAGTTCTCAGATTGGCATGCAACTATACAACCCATAGCCTTCTATATCTCTACTGTTGTTGAAAACCCATCACATTTCCCAAGCGTATCCCTTTTATTTTAACCTTCCTTTTTGTTTCAGGACCTCCGTAGGTCTGCACGTCGACCTTGTAGCGGTATACGTCATCTTCACTTCGGTTCCAGGTAATACCACCACTTTTTATTATTTCATCAGATTTCCTTTTCAGCCCTTCCTCGTTTCCTTTCCGTTGACTTACTTTACCATCTTCTTTCATTGTCTTTACCAAATCTTCATTGTTAGTAGTCAACTTTTCCTGATCGACAATTTCGCAACTGATCCTGAGATAGTCCACATAAAAGTCTGACAGTATCTTCTCAGCCGCCGTTGGAGAAACTTCACCGTGATCCAAATTCATGTCAACATATTCATTAGTAACCTCTGTGTATTTCTGTTTCTGATCGCCGTTCTTCAGTCTTCGTTCTAAAGAATACATTCTTTTTCCAGGTGTTTGCAGATAGTTCTTCACAACAGGATCTTTATTCTTCACCGGAAGACGACGCACAATGTATCGACCAGTGTCATCTCTACGATTAGTTCTGGTAAAGTATCCATCACGTGTCTTTTGATCTTCTGTATTCGTTCTTTTCTTTGGCAACGGAATGTCATCTTCTAGCTTCCTAAACTGATTATCCTCCACGCTACAGTGCATCACATTTATTGTTTCAGAAGGCTTCATGGGCGTGTGAACAACACCAGACAAAATCCACCCCAATGACGAACACTGAGCAAGTGGTGAACCAAGCGGTCCTTTGATGACTCCGTTTTGAATTACCCGGCTATATACTTCTGACCCCAACAACAAATCCACACTGTTAGAAGTATAATAGCTCGGATCCGCGAGGACAATGTCCTCAAGCTCCTTCCATTCCTCCGATCTTATTTTTCGGTTAGGCAAAAGCGAAGTGATGGACCCTAGTACATAAGCTTTCACTGTGATAATAAAGTTTGGATCAATCCGTGATGCTATTTTTATTTCAACCATCGACTTTGTCGTGAGCCCGTTCGTGCCACCTACTCCTACTATTTGCCCTTTAGCTGGAATCTTCTTCAAACCCAATAATTCAACCATGGCCTCTGTAATAAAAGAGGATTGGGACCCTTGATCCAGCAGAGAACGAATAGTATAAGTTTGGCCGTGTTTCGATACAGTATCTACAAGTGCCGTCGCTAGCAAAACCTGGCTATAATCCACAGTGCTTCTTGTAGACGTACAGGAAATAACAGCACCAACTTTCTTGGTATCAGCCGTAGTAACCTCCCCGTTTTGGGGTTCCTGAGCAGCAATCTTGTTCGTAGGATGCAGCAGAGTGTGGTGCTTCCTCTTGCAGATGCGACACTTGTATTTGCTGTGGCAGAATTTGGCAGAGTGATTATTTCCGAGACAACAAAAACAAACATTATGGGATGCAACAAATTCGCGACGTAATTCCACTGACTTATCCCTAAATTCTTTACACGTGCTCAATTTGTGCTCCTTCTTACAAAAGGGACAGACTAACATGGCAACGTGCATGGTTTTCATTTTGAAAACAGGTAAGGTTTTATTAGGGATCAGTTTGGATCCTGAACTCAAAAATTCAAGGGCGCGGTAACGGTTTTTAAGAAACTGTTCGAACTGGTCGTAAGTTGGTAGCTCGGTAGAGTTATTATTCGCGATGCTAAACTCCCATTGCCTTTTTGATTCAGGGTCCAACTTTAAAGTTATTATATGGATTACCAGCACGTCCCAGGTACTCGTATCTATGCCAATATTAGATAGAGCGGACAAACAATCGTTTGTGGTATCCATCAACCCTTTCAACCCACTAGCCGACTCACAAGTTACATTTTTCTGGCTTAGCAGTCTTTTCAAAATGTGATGACAGATGTACCGTTTGTTGTTGTACCTCTCGTCTAATAAACCCCAACAATGCTCGTAATTACTATCGGTAATCGGAATGTTACATAAAAGTTGCTCGGCTTCACCCTGTAAGTACCCCTTTAAATACAATAATTTTTGAGCATTTCCTAATGTCTTGTTCGAGTGTATCAAAGACTGGAATAAGTCTCGGAAGGTGTTCCATTCCGAGTACTTTCCTGAGAAGATCGGAATATTTACTTTTGGCAATTTAACATTAGGCGCCTGTAGAGAGGGCTGGTTAGAATCAGTGTTGGAAGTACCTGTGATTATAATTAATTTAGCTAAAGCTCCTTTCAATTTACATTTATAATCAATATAGCAATCTTCTGTTTTGTCATAAGTATCGTCTTGCATATAGGTCGATCCAGATAACAATTTAGGTTCCGTAGTGCGCAACAATTCCTTATGACCCAACAGAAATTCACTCCACAAACCTTCAAGTAGTTCCAACTTTCCTTCTAAATACTCCTTGGTCAAACGCTCATTCGGACCTTTTTGGAAATTCGTCTTAGCTTTTTTTATTCTTGACGCAAGGTCAAACTGACAATTTTGTAATCGTTCCATCATAAATGACAGTTAAATTAAAATGTAAACAAACTTCCAAAAAATAGTAAAAAATTCTAAGTGTTTGACAATTCTAACAGAAATTGGGCATAGGTTCCCCGTAGCAACCGCTTTTTCAAAACTATTCTAAGTCCTNCAAGTGCTAAATTTGTAAACTATGAAGGGATATGTTTAATCATTAGTATAACATTAATAGCAGGGTTACCATCTGAAATCGGCTATTATTGGCTATTTATGGCTAATAACTGCTTTTAATCCGTTACTAGCCAATTGCTATTAATCGGATTATTAGCACTTACCCATCTCTAGTCCTGCGGCTTTTTCCGCGTAGATTTTAGTCTGCCACAGAAAGTATTAGTAGCAGTACTCATGTATCAGCCTTTTAAAAACTTGATTAACTATGTTTTCCCTAGTTACACAAAACTGTATCTAAACTACTAACCGCTGGGATAAAAAAAATCTTGATCAACCCAGTTGCAGCCTGAAGGTTTGACAGTAAACCTTAAAAAAATAGTGGTCTTGACTTATCTTGTAATCCAGCTGTGGGAATGCGTATTGAACATTTACACCGCAAATGTCTTCCGCTATCTCATAGTCTACTATATAAAAATAAGTCGGGTTTTCCTTCCTGACGCTATAACTCCAGAACGCACGAACCGATTTCCACGGTTTTGCATTCGTTGGAAAGGTCTCGGGCTCCGTGAGGTTTATAGGCTATAATGTAGTCCACGCGGGCGAAGCCGCGGGCGGAAAGCTAGTTGTCTATAAGATCCACTTACAAGTAGTCGTAAATACTTGAATGTAATACTTAATACCTAGCAACACTAAATAAAACGTTTATTTTTCTCTCAAGGCAAGCATTCGCAACCTTCCGCGCCGCAGCGCTATGCAGTTCAGTCACAGCAAGAAAACTGGCCGCTGTGGGCGCTTCCTTCACGCGGCAGCAACGACAGCAGTTGCTGAGAGGAGCCCTTCTTAACGTCGTCATGCAGGGCACCTTCTCCAGTGAGTATACAGTGTCTATACAGGGCGCATACAGTGTATATACAGGGCACGTCCAGTGATTATACAAGGCATGCGGGGCACTTACAATGTATATACAGGGCACTTACAGTGTATATACAGGGCACGTTCAGTGTTGCGCGTCTTAGCTCAGTAATAGTAGAAAACTGGCCGCTGTGGGCGCTTCCTTCACGCGGCAGCAACGACAGCAGTTGCTGAGAGAAGCGCTGCTAAACGTCGTCATGCAGGGCACCTTCTCCAGTGAGTAAACAGGGCATGCAGGTCACTTAAAGTGTCTATACAGGGCGTATACAAGGCACATCCAGTGAGTATACAAGGCATGCAGGGCACTTTCTCCAGTGCGTATACAGGGCATATTATTATACATTAAATATACAAGGCATACACAGTAAAATACAGGGCACATCCTCTGAGTATACAGGAAAACTTATCCAGTGACTGTATGCAGGGCACATACAGTGTCTATATAGGGCACGTCCAGTTAGTATACAAGGCATGCAGGACACGTACAGTGATATAACAGGACACCAGCAGTGGCGTAGCTTAGCTTGTAGTTGGGCTCTGTATTAGAATTTTAAAAGGAGCCCCCATCATTGCAAACGAGACTTCTAAAAAAATTAACGAAATTAAAAACTGTAGCCTTATTCACGTAACAAAACTTCAACGACAACAAATCGCTGAGTTGCCATCCTATCGAGTAATCGTTCAATCGAAATGACCCTTGTGAATACGGATTTAGAACTGTTTTTCAATGGGACGACTTCTGAACGTCAGCGAGATTTTGACTGTGTCAAAATACGTGAATTTAGGTCACTGGTTAACAGTAGACTGTTACATTATTCATAAAAATTATGCAACAAAAATACATAGATATTTTTAACTGGTTTATCTTTTCCTTTTCAGAATTAGACGTGTTGGAGCGAGCGAACCCACAGTTTTTAATAAACGCTTCGAATCTCATGGGAGATTATTTCGCAGGTAATAATCGATATTTTATTTTTAATCAAATAAATAATACATTGTTTCTTCGATCATAGTAAGAAAAAGATAAAACTTGAACACAATTAGTACCTTGCCAAAATAAAATACACAAAAAGCACGTTTTGGTCCAGTGAAACGCTCCATAGTTACTAAAATTCTTGAAATTATACACAGTTTCCCATCACCCACACGTCCGCTATCTCGTACAGTTTTCGAAAAATCAAGTGTTGCAATTTGCAAAAAAATTTGGCCCACCTGTATACAGATTTATTTATTTATACAAACAGCTTTGTCGACAATTTACATCAGTCTTTTCCAAAGTGGGCGATAACGCCCCCTTGTGGGCGCTGCAGGCTTAAAGGGGGGCGGTAAGAGACCCAGAAAAAAAATCGGGACGTTGTGTAGAGGCTTGGGAGGCGTCATCTACTAGGAGGACTCTTAGACACCGATTGAGCTCGACTCTTGACTATAAAAATGGGGGGCGCTAAAAAATAATTTATTCTCAAAGTGGGCAGTAGACTAAATAAGTTTGGGAACCGCTGATTTACATGGTACACAGTAGTGATTAATTTATGATTTATGTGTATAATTCCAGAGGCGCGTCTCTGCAACGGCAACAAAGTGCACATCCTTGCCAGCCCGCTGCTGCAGTACATGCGAGCGTTGCTGGCTTCCGACGACATCAGGGCACACAGGAGTCTGGCTACACAGGTATATTTGATTTTGTTGTCTCTGTCTATCTTGAAGGGATGTTATGGATATGTAGTTTCGGTTATGGATACGGCTACGGATATTTTTTTATTTCGGATATCCGAAAGTTTCGGTTACGGTTACGGATATCTGTGCTAAGTATAGAATGCAAATTCCAATAGTTGTCCAACACAGTTCATGCCTTACGAATAGAATGGGTACAGAAGAGATATCTTTGGCATCTGTCACCTTCTTTTGGTCTCACAAAAAAACTTTTAAAACTCACGCCTACTTCAAAATGCGATCATTAAGTCAGCGTGGGGACTTGCTTGACTCTGCCTACATCCGAAACCTTTGAATCGGTAACGGTTACGGATATTTTTTATTTCGAATATCCGAAAGTTTCGGTTACGGTTACGAATATCCATAACATCCCTTTCTTGACAGCCAGGCAGGCAAAAGACTTCAATGTGTAGAGTTTGAGGGTAGTCTTCCCGTGGATGTCGTAAGAGGCAACGGGATGAATATGCGAACCTCACGCCTTGGAAAACTGTCTGGCCAGCGTGAGGAGTGCAGGGCAAATCCTCTATTTCGTGCGTTCATTACTGGATAAAAGCCTTCCCTAAGGATTTCCACTATGAGGGTTACAGGCCTTACAGGAAGGCGCTAGATGAGACCACTACAAACAGGCCAATCCAAGGATCTCCTGTGGCTGAAATGGGGAGGCTTTTGTTCAGGATGTCTTGTAGCTGAAGCTGAAATGATGATGAAAGTGTCGCTCCTACAGTCAAAATTACAGACATTTAGTCACATTATTATAAAATCGTCTTTTCCTGCTATAGTCTGGTCCGGGAGCACGTAGAATTTTGTCCGTTGACCCCAAGCTACCCATCCTTATCGCTCGCGCGTAATTATATTGCTGTCGCGGCTGTGCGACGCGCGCCCGCAGTGAGTGTGCGAGCGCGACAGCAACATAATTACGCGCGAGCGATAAGGATGGGTAGCTTTGTGGTCATTGGACAAAATTCTACGTGCTCACAGACCGGGCTTTACCAAATATTTAACCAACCCAAGCAAACTTGGCGGCGGACTGTAGTAGACGACATGAAGAAGATCGGCAAGACTTGGAGCGAGATCGAACGCGATGGAGGACTGTTAGACGCCCTCTGCCCCATCTAGGGCACATAGGACCTTAAGTCAAAGCATCAAATATTTTATTTAGTACTTGGGCCCTATCCAGGGCGCTTATACACGTCCCAAATAGCTTGCCCTACCACCACTTCGGGACAACATATGGGCTGATGCTGAGAAGAAGTGGCGGAATAGGCGACTAAAAACTTTCATATAATTATCCGTGTGCGATCCTGCAAACGAGCGACTGAAGTCCGGCTCAAAAGTCTTATTTCAAAGAGCCCTACGGGACAAAAGCAAACATCAGGGCTCCTCAACCCGTTTGGCCAATCAAATTCATTTGCTTCTGGTAAATTACATAGGATCGTGAGCCGACAAAGTGCACATTATAATTGCAAACCAGTCGAAAAGCCTTTTTGTATGGAGTTTTAACGATTCAATTCGATCAAAAAGTTCAGCTTGTCTGTCTAGGAGGGCTGATGATGATTGAATTATGAATTCACTCCAACTCGTCTGCCTGCGCGAGTCTTTCTGGTGATGCCTATGATAACATAATTCTTTTTCTTTCCTTACAGTTAATGCAAAATGGTCGCGAATTACTCTCACAACACACAGCACAAGAGCTCGACGACTTATCCATATCAATCCGCCTCCGGTTGCTCTCCCCCCCGCCCGTCTCAATCATCTGGCTCCTCCTCTCCGCGGACTTATGCCTCAACAAGTTTCTACCACTCCCAAACACGCTCCAACAGTTCTACGCCTCACACCTAGAACTAACCCCAGACGAAAACTACAGCGAAGTCAGTTATGGCTCATGGAAAAAGAGCCCGGAGAAAGATGAGTACAGATCTGACGTTAGCACGGACAGTGTGGCTGAGAAAGCCAGTCAGAATGTATCACAGATCAGTTTGAGCGATGATATTGATACAAAACCAAAGTTGAGACCGATATTGGGGGCTGGAGCAGGATTATTGAGACAGGAGCAAGCATTATCCGTTAGCCAGGACACATTTGAGACGTGGACAGCTAAGAGCAGTTTATCCAAGCGATACGACTTGAACTCGTGGAGACAGGCTGAAGATGAAAAAGAAGTGGAAGAACCAGTATTCAACCCGGCTGTGTTACCTCCAAATTTTCCAGTGACAGTGCCAGATTACCCACCACCCACGACCAGGTTTAGCTACCCGGAGAACATGGCAAATTATCTCCAGCAAGGTGACGGAGCATATATACAGAACCAGTATCCAGCTAACAGCACAGCGAATTTCAACCAACAAGGGGATACGTATCAGTTCGCACAAAACGAAAGACCGCAGCCTGAAAAAGTCAACAATGAGATTCAAAAAAACGCTCAGAATAGACGACCTATTGAAAATTGGAGACGGGAAAAAAGCGATTTGAAGGAAGACGCCAACAGGAATCGACAACGCAACTGGACTCGCCAGCGGTCCAAAGACAACATAGACGATGATGACGACAAAGAAAAGTTTAAGGACGGCGAAAAATTTCCCAGGTCCTCCTCCAGGAATTCCCGGGAATCGCGTCCGGGGAACAGGATGCCTCGACGGAATAGCGGGGAGAGTTCAGAGTCGGTGAACACGAATTCCGGGAAGACTCCACCAAGGAGGCATGTGACGGACGTCCCCAGGAATCAGAAGTACTGGGACCACGATGACCGGTGCGATAAGGACTATAATAGTTAGTGAATGTGTTGTGGACATGTATGTGTTTGTTCTAGTGGGAGGTGACATTTTTGGTGCAGAAAATTGACCGGTAAGTCAATTTTTATTTCATTGACTTCCAACAATGATCAATAAATAGATTTCAGACACAAAAGATTTCATTTTCAGTAATTTATCGGAGTATATTTTTTTCAAATTGTCAAAATTCACATTTAATTACATTATTTTCATTGTTTCATATTATTTTATTTTAATTCATACGTCTTATGCTCAAATAATTTAATAAATTCTGTACGGTAACTTGAATTTATATCTTTCATTGTTGTGTAAAAAAAAAATTCCATGAAATTCAACCATACAATTTACTTTTACGAAACAAACTGAAAATATACAATGATAAGACTTGCAGATTGAATGAAATAGAATAGATATAAATAAATTATATCTCTAAAAAGACCGCCTTCCACTAGAACGTTTTATACTAAGTTAGCAATAGACATGTATGTATAGTGAAATTTTAAGTGCTAGACGAGTCGACTGGTAGAAATGCCTTGTTGTATAAGTCCGATTTGTGACGTGCTAAATTTTTGTATATTTTTTGTAACGTGACGTTGGACTGTGTAAAGAAAGAAGCTGTAATGTGATTTTTGGTTGAGTTATAACGGATTATTGGAAGGAAAAGTGCTGCATGGTGCCTGATACGCATATGGTTTGGTTTGTAGACAATTTGGAAAGAAGTATTGTTTGGAAGTAGCCTGGGAAAAGTTTAAAGGGCAATTTACTATTGGTTTTCATACTAAAGTTAGTTTCAATAGTATGTCCATTGAAATGCTTGGTGTTAGCTGATTTGTAAAAAGAAAAAAAGAACCACTGTTTGTTGGAAGTTGGTTAAAATTTTCATATTCATAGCACTAGATGGCCCACAAAACACTCATGTGACTTCTCAAAGGCTCAGTTTCTTTAAAATGTTTAAATAAATAAATTCCATAACGTTATTGCTTTAACCTTCTAAATGAATGTTAAAAACATAACTCTCCGGCCTGGAGTCGGTTAAAATTGTCTCGCAAAATGGTGATCATTATTTAATTAGACCCTAAGTAAGTTAATGGCAAATAATTAATCATTAGTTTAGTAATTTTCATTGTTTTTATTAGAATTTCGCCCGCAGTCCAACATAACTTGAAATGGTAAAAAGAATAAAAATAATGGTGCATAAACTAGTCCCATATTAAATTGACTAAACATTTTTAATCAATGTAGTACAAAAATGATAGCAATAATTTTTTACTGTTGAACATTGATTTGAAAACTCAAGGATTTGCACTAGAAATTGTGACAAAATTGTCACAAATAAATCTATGGATGGTAATCTAAAACTAAATTCCATATTAATTCTGCATTCGATCTAGCAGATGGAATATTGCTTGGAAATTTTCAAATAAGGCATGATATTTAAACGTGTCTTACAACGCCTTCATTGTAGACTTTTAGTTAAACCATTGAAGCCATTAAATAGAATTTGGTTAATTAAGACTTATTAGTAAAAGAAGAAATATTATGAAAACTTAGATTTATTATTTGAGAACTAACCCCTAATTACTATAAAATAGCACAAAATCCATATTTACTTCATAAAATCATCTTTAATACCATCATTTACACTAAATTCTCCGCATTCCGCCTAAAAAAGCTGGAAAATAATAAATAAATAAAATTGTCTACTAAAATTATGTTAATAAACAATCTTATTTATATTATTTAAGTGATAAAGCCGTTTGCTCAATTCTATTTTACCTCCAAAAAGTAAAATTGTCTTGTACAGTCAGCTTCAGAATGTTAGTGACACCCGAAGTAGCCAAAAAGTTCGCTACGTCGTTATTACAATGAGGGCTATCGTTTTAGCGCTCACCAGTTGGCGCCACTGTAGAGTAAGGTCCAGTCACTTGCTAGTAGCGAAGACAGTGGCACCAACTGGTGAGCGCTAAAGTGGTAGGAGGACTATCGCATTTGCGCTCATCAAGATGGCGCCACTGTAGAGTAAGTTCCTCTCAATCGCCAGGGGTGCCAACTGTTAAGTATAAAAACGATAGCCCTCATTGGAATAAGATTGTGTTGTCAACTTTTTGGCCACTTTGGGTGTCGCGAACTATTTGACGCTGACTGTAATAGTTTCGTCATAATTTGCCAAAAACATAGTTAATTTTTTCACTTTCCGTAAGTTGAGCCTATCCTCTACAAAAACTATCATCGGTGAAAGCGAGGTTACTCCCAAAAATGTACGAAGTTCGAATGTTTCCATCCCTCTCACACAAAGCGAGATATCAGCATGAGGGACAGTGACAGATATACCGTTTCGGAGTAACCCTGCAGATACAGACAAAAAATGAAACAAACCTATGAGTATGAGTACAGTCATCGTCAAATAGTCCGTCAGGGTTCGAAAATCCGAATTTTCGAACCCTGAGTCCATGACACCCTGGGTGGCCAAAAAGTTGTTGTCATCCTTATTCTAATGAGGGCTATCGTTTTTATACTTAACAGTTGGCACCCCTGGCGATTGACAGGACCTTACTCTACAGTGGCGCCATCTTGATGAGTGCAAACACGATAGTCCTCCTACCACTTCGCTCACAAGTTGGCGCCACTGTCTTCGCTACTAGCAAGTGACAGGATCTTACTCTACAGTGACGCTAACTGGTGAGCGCTAAAACGATAGCCCTCATTGTAACAAAGAATTATTGCGAACTTTTTGGCTACTTTGGGTGTCACGAACTATTTGGCGCTGACTGTACCAGACAATGGATATGTCCACACTTATGTTTTAAGCCTTAAAAAATTTAAGGAATTGGTTGCTACTGTATACCTAGTTTAAGTTTCATTATTTTAGACTTGCTAAAGGCTAGGCTTTAAAAAGCCGTAAGTGCCAATAAATATTCTAAAGGATGCGAGGAAATGAACTGTGGGAGACTCGAATTGTGTGAATATACGCAATAAATGGATATTAGACGATGTAAATACACACAGCGCCCCTAGCGGAGCGGTTTGGAAGCTTTATTGATATTAGAAAGTGTGAATTGAGCCAAAATACTTATACAGGGTGTCCAAAAACAACGTCATGCGGGCTCCAGACAACAGCCTAGTTCAAAACAGCATATTTCTTAGAGCTAGCATGACCCTTGACATTTTGCGACATTCTGCATTAGCTCGGCGTATTAATTTTGGTTGTAATATTGTTAGTACACAAACTTTCGGTGTGATCATCACTTTGTGTAAGGTGATATACAGGCCAAGAACTTCTCCATTGTGGGTAAAACTCGTAGCAATTCAGTTGCAATATCTTCCAATGGCCAAATTCTATTGACGAGAGTAAATTGGACGCTGAATTATGCTATACTTAGTATTCCAAAAGCCAAAGCTTCCAAATATCACCGCTATTGGCGCTAGCGTCGTATACTAACACGGATTATAGAAAGTGATAGCAAAGGGAGAACTCTGAACGACAAATGCATAATATTAAGTAGACAAATAGTTTCGTAGCCTTAAAGTAGTTGTAATTTAAGTTTAGGCAAGACAGCTCTATGTTTGATAATGGCGACGCATTTTGTAAGAAGACTGCCCGAAATTAGAACTTGATTTAACTTTACCTAGAAAGCACATTGCTGTCTATAGTCTGGTCTGTGAGCACGTAGAATTTTGTCCAATGACCCCAAGCTACCCATCCTTATCGCTCGCGAGTAATTGTATTGCTGTCGCGACTGTGCGACGGGCGGCCGCAGTGAGTGTGCGAGCGCGACAGCAACATAATTACGCGCGATGGGTAGCTTGTGGTCATTGGACAAAATTCTACGTGCTCACAGTGCTTTAGTTAAAACTGAAATGAACAACTTCATGCGTTCGGACGCGACGGTTGTCGCTGCGTCGAGCTTCCGAAAAGCGACTCATTTGCCGCGTTTAGCGTGTGGAATGTGTGGTCGCTGCAAGCTGTGTTGTCAACTTTTTGGCCACTTTGGATATCCGAACTATTTGGCGCTTCTGTACATTCTGTAGGTAGAGAAAGTTGTTTTTTTAATTCTAAAGTAACGCTCAAGCCCCAGTAAAGACTAAAATAAATGATATATTTCAAAAAAATTCACGGCAGTCTTATTACCATGCTAGTTTCTGATATCCCACAATGTCTGGGACAAAAGTACCTGTGTAGAATATGCACAATTATTGTTATAATTAGTATGCGTAGTAATATACAGGGTGGAATCAAATATGCGTGTAAAAACATGATATTTCCATCAAAATTCTGGTTGAGATTTTTGCAAACGCAAGTTTACTAGGATTCAAAGGGTTATTGTCGATTTGCCACAGAATGGACTCGTCACAGGAAATGCACATATTATGTAAGTTGTCACACTTTATATGCCTCATGGAATTTCCTGTAACCTTTGTGTAATGCATAAAACTTATAATAATTGTGGCAAGTAGACAATAACTATATTATAATGACCTCGCTAGTTCCCATGTTTGATTTCACCCTGTATTAAAATAAATATATTTTAAGTACAGAACATGATTTTGTATAATATTCTTAAAACTAAAAGTAACCTATAAAACTGTTTAATTTTATCTTGTACCATGCTGTGGTGGGAAAGAGAACGATAGAAAAAGAAAGGTTCGAATGATTAAATAAAATTTTAAATTTAGATTAAAATTGAAATTGTATGTATTTGATAGAATAATGTTAGCTACTAAAAGGTGTCAAGGAATTTTTGTAACACAGATAATTTTGGTGTATTTAGCCAATTGGAATTACTTGATCTTATATTTTGACTGTGTAAAACAAAGATACTTACCATAAGCAGTTCTCAAATAGTAGTAAGCACTGCAGACCACCCGTGGTACCCTCCTATGTTCTTCTGATTAATTTCGTTGCGGGTTCAATGACAGTTAACTTTCCCCCGGAACAAACTTGGCCTTCATTGGTTGGGTTATTGGCGGTCAAGCTGTAGATCCTGGCTACACAGGAGTTGCAGCGGTGGGAACGAGAGGTGGGAATAGTCCCGTAGACCACCTAGTAGCTGACTATGCAGGAGCTACAGTGGTGGGATTTATAGACCATAGACCATTTGGAATATGGTTCAAGGATACTTCTTGAATAACCAGTGGTTTATAGTGGTCTAGACTGATTTGAGAACTGCTGATGAAAGTTTGTTGAAAATCAAAATTGTAATTACAATCTTACAGTTCTAATTTGAACTTTGTGTCTCGGTTTTAAAGTCTACAAAGAGAATGCACATCGGATTTTAGACGCTCTTAAGTGCGTATCACAGAACTACTCAAGACTTGATTCAAGTTTAAGCATAGATAGGGTCTAGAATCTAGACCCATCAACCATCTAGCTAGACTAGTTGGTTGGATATCAATATTTAGACACATCACATCACCCTGTTTCTGAATGAGACTACTTGAGCATGCTCATATTTTAATCAAGTACGTAAGTACTTTTCATACTAAATTCATTTTTGAGTTCTACTCAAAATGTTGATGAGCATGCTACGATTTCGACCGGGCTCGCTTTCTAAGAATGAGTAAAGTTTTGAGTATTCTAACAACACATGTTACAATAACTACAGAAATGGCAAAGATTAAGATACTTTTTATCAGAGAAAATCTTTAATCTGGTGTGCTCTTTGGTGTGAAATGTGCACGCACCTTTAGTGTGAATATGAATATGACTAGATGAAAGGTAGATTTTATATGAATTACTATTGCATAGCAAAAGCCTAGGTTCTTAGTGAAATGGCTAGAAAAAGCGATGGTGGCCTTTTTATTGATTTCGGACAGCAAAAGGTTTTGCAAGTTTAAAAAATGGAGTATTGTATGGGCATACATAAATTGTTTAAATATTCTACTCTAAAAGGAAATTAATTGCTAAAAGGCCTGTAGCCATCGCATTATGTAAAATATTATAAATAAAAAATATTATTTAACATTTCATAGTGAAGAGTTTTGTTTTTTCAATTTTGTACAGTCATTAATGAAAATATGCGCTGAAAATTACGCTCAATATAGGTATAATGTAATGTAAAATATTTAGAAATTTCGTAGTTTTTTATTGAATTATAAATTGAGTAAGCTTATTTTTCAGTTGGGGCGATGTGTGTAAAATTACGTACTTTATTTGATATTTATTTCGTGTGTATTTAAATTGTAATTTATTTAATTTATTGCATGAAATTCACCCTGCAAATGTAAATATATAGGGCATATTTTTGTCAGTGACTGTACTATAATTTGTGAAACTTTGAATAGTAGGAGACTTTTATGTTGGAAGCTTTCAGCCTTATTTTAATTTGAGGCGTCATGGGACGCCACTACGGTGTCATGGGGCGCCACTCCGGTGTCATTGGAAAATTATGTAATATCAAATAAATTGAAATTTGATTTCAGTATCTTGTTTTATTTAATTATTTTTCTGTCGCCTTAAAACTATTTACAGTTATAAATTATAACAATCATGAACGACGTCACATAACTAATAAATAATCATTGCAAACAATGTACAGTCAGCCTTGAAAATTCTTACACAAAACACATTTTTATATGACTAGTAAATATTTTGTCTTCAACAATAATGTCTGGCTGAAGTTATAGACGAGTAGTAAGTAGGTACACTATTTTTGTGTGTGTTACTTATTTTAATAATAAAATATTAATAGGGGTTAAAAATAGAATTCCATAATCATAAGAAAACGAACGATATAATTGAATATTCGATTGTAAATACTGCTTTGAAAACTTAATACTGAATCTGGCTTAATTATTATTATCTTAAAAAGCAATAATTCATTATAAAAGTATGAATAAAATCGATCAAGCTTATTTTAATACAACATATTAATATGTTTACATGATATTATAACTAATCTTAATATCTAGCATACGAATTAACAATAACAATATTTTAATTTTAAAATCTAAACGATTTTAGAGGTGTGCTTATTGGCTCTATGAACGAAATCGAACAAGCCTAATTCATGTCCATAGAAAAAGTTTTTGAAAGAAAGAAAAATATTTATTTGGTACTAAGTGATACACATTGACAATACATGAAATATGACGTGCTAATTTTGGGTATACACCCTGTATGTACAGTCAACGTCAAATACACTCGACATCAAATAAATCGCACCTCCCGCGACAACCATTTTCAAACGTATGCTTCCCCACTTCCCACCAATATTGGTACCATTTGAAAGCCTAGTTCTAACCTTCATTTCATTAAAGGAAAGGTTTATACCCCAAAAATGTGTCTTTAGAAGGATCCAGAGTCACTTCTTCAAAAAATAGGTAGTTACGCTAGAGCCAAATTTTATGGCTATAAAACTGTTAAGTTGGGATTAATCGCTATCCATCTGTTAAAGAGGACACGTGAGATCATTATTTGGTTTTATAACCATAAAAATTGGTCTAATTGATCCCATAGGTGGGCCCAAAGTGAGGTATTTTTTCAAGTCACATTTATGGTATTATGTTAATCATTTATTAAGAAATTATATGTGTTTTTCTTTAAGGATATTTATTGGGCTTTCAAATAACACCAATATTGTTGGGGCACCATGATTGTGTCAGAAGAAAATCGTTAAAGTTCGCGTCGCGGAAGGTGCGGTTTATTTGATGTTGAGTATAGTTCGTATATACTATACCACCATAGTGGTCAAAAAAGTGACAATACAACCTTATTCCAATACTAAGACGTGTTGCGAACTTTGTGGCTACTTTGGGTGTCACGAATTAAATGATGCTGACTGTACCAGACAATTTAAAACTGATTGTTTCGTAGTTATAACACTCACTTATCAACAATTAATTTAGTCGATTGCAAGCGAGAGAGAAGAATATATAGACATGTCGCGAACGCCCGCGAAGTTTATAGTCGACCAACTAACACTCAAATCGTTTGATGAGACGGATAAATAGTCATTTATGTGCAATATTAGTACAATTTTATTCTGAAAAGTATTTCTAGTACACAGAAGCTTTTATTTTATTACAATTATGCAAAAAGCACTTACACGAATATTTTAATTTCCCGGAGAGCTGGCCGCGCTGGCCAGCTGGCGGTCCGCCCCGGGTGCCAAGCATCTGGGGGTGACACAAGTCGCGCAGATTAGTACCATTAGTACTCACTGGCGCATCTATCTGCGATTGTCTTTCATTCGGGGGGTACCAGGGGTAGGGTTGCCAACTTTTCTTTCAAAATATAAAGTATGTGCAATGTATATGTCTCCCAACATGGCACAAGTATATCAGAGGTCGGAGAAGGAAAACAGACAGTATTAAAAAAAAAAAACAAACAGTATAGCTCTACAACGCGTACTTAAATGTGGTGTTGGGCATTTACTTTTAAAAATATCTATGGATACTAGTGATGCTAGCTGAAAACAGTATTTTGTATACTTTATTTTTGTTCAACAGTAAAAAGTATAATTTAGTGAAAAACAGTATAATACTGTTCAAAACAGTATAGTTGGCAACCCTAACCAGGGGGTGCCTTAGGACTTATNATCGCCCCGGGTGCCAACCCATGCTACGCCGCCACTGCTAATCATATCTCACTCTGGGTATGTTAATTAGATTTCAAAGATGAAAGTAAGTAATTAGGCCTTTTATGACCTACATTATGTCTATCTATCTCTGTACTTATTATTATTCTGTGGTAATACTGAAACTCGTCAATAGCGATAATCACTTTCTTTTTTTACTTTTGATTAGTGTTTAAAAATGAATTCATTATTTAAGATTTTAATTTAAGCTCAAAGGACAGGACTCTAGAGACTCGAAGGACTGAATCTAGATACTCCGGACTGACTCTAGAGACTCCACACTGACTCAAGAGGTTCGAAGGACTGACTGGAGACTCTAGAATCTCAACAGGCTCGAAATACTGACTTGGACTGACTAAAAAGTAGACTCAACAAGACTCTTCGGACTGACTCTAGAAACTCCAGACTGACTAGATACTCCAGACTGACTCTAGATACTCCAGACTGATTCTAGTCTCCAGACTGACTCTAGAGACTCCAGACTGACTCTAGAGACTTTTGACAGACTCAAGAGACCAAGGACTGACTCTAGAGCCTCCGGGCTGACTGTAAAGACTCCAGACTGACTCTAGAGACTCTTGACAGACTCAAGAGACCAAGGACTGACTCTAGAAACTCCAGACTGATTCTAGAGACACTCTCTCACTCTCTCTCTCTCGGGGCACGCAGTGAGGGCATCACTGCACGCTGCAGGTGACAGGATGAGTCAGCAGATAATTAAGCAGCACGGGAGTGCCAGCCGCGACTTCCAGCTGCATGTCATCATCTTCCTCAGAGACTCGGGGGGACACCGGAGACACGCGGGGCACAGGCTTCTGGGACAGAAGCGACAGGCGAGAGTCGACGAGGATTAGAAAGATTCGAAGGACAACTCTAGAGGCTAGAGTCAAGGAGGATTGACTCTAGAGTGTCTAGAGACAAGGAGGACTGAATCTAGAGACTCGTCGGAGGGAAAAGATACCCAAGAGACTCGAAGGACTGACTCTAGAGACTCAAGACTCCCCGGACTGACTCTAGAAACTCAAGAGACTCGAAGGGCTGAGTCTAGAGACGCGAAGACCTGACTTCAAAGACTCAAAATGCTCGAAAGACTGACTAGAGACTCAAGATGCTCGAAGAACTAACTGGAGACTCGAAGATCTGACTCTAGTGACTCTTCGGACTGACACTAGAGCAGTCATTGGACACTAGACACACACTCTCACTCTCTCTCTCTCTCTCTCTCGGGGCACGCAGTGAGGGCATCACTGCACGCTGCAGGTGACGGGATGAGTCAGCAGATAATTAAGCAGCACGGGAGTACCAGCCGCGACTTCCAGCTGCATGTCATCATCTTCCTCAGATACTCGGGGGGACACCGGAGACACGCGGGACACAGGCTCCTGGGATAGAAGCAGCTCGCAGGATGTGCTGTCGTCTGGTGGCGTGTCTATGAACACCTGGAAAGAAGGTTTGGTTAAGGAACACCTGGGAGAAAACGTTTTTATGCTATAAGAGCGGTTTCGTACTACGTCCGATCCGAATCCGTCAAATAAAACCGTTTTCATCCTAATTTATTTTTTATTTATTTATCTTTATTAAAGAAGCATACAGCCTTGTTTGACACATGCAGCTTAAAATTAAGTGGGTTATACATTGGCCTAAGAAGGGTTTCCGATCCGAATCCGTTTATCCGTCCAAATATTGGTCGCAACGACTATTTAGCTCATCAATACAAGCAGAGACTTCCTCAAGGAGCCGAAAGTACCTTAGAATACAAATAGTTCTACAACTACTTTGGATCGTTTTGTCACGGATTCGGAGACGTGGTTAAACCGTTCAGAGGCACAAGTTAATGTCAAGATTCAAATTAAAATGTAACAAAACAACAGGGGGCGTAGTGTGAGTTTACATCAAATGCTCGACTGAACTCACACTACGCACACTGATGACGTTACTATCAGTTGGCCATCATTATCATCATCATTTGTCAGATGCGCCTTCCTGCAAACATTTATGACAACGTCACACCCAGCGTAATGATTGGTTTCAAGTTTCAACGCATTGATATAGTGCCACACGAGCGCTGCGTGGTTGCAACGCCGCTTGACTCCGATAAGCGCTGGTGTGGTGAAAGAATGGTATCCGGATTATCCGGTATCCTTGTGCCATTTTCGAGGGCAGTGTGAGTTTATATCAAACGTCTTCGTTAAAAATGACATTAAATGCATGACAGATTGTACAGCGTCCCTAGGCATACTTTCAAGAACTAAAATCTTCATAGAGTTTTTTGACGCGCTCGCTTGCGAAGTTTGATGTAAACTAACCGTATTCCCAAACATTACTACGAGGTCTCAGTGCGCGTGGATACACGAACCAATCACAGAGCTCTATTCAACTGTGCGTTCGATTTGCGATCAGTTAGGCAAGTATCGTTTGTGAAATACGGGCGTACTATCCGTTCGCTTTAAGTTTGCCGCTGGCGATATGACGTCACTCGAAGGGTAGCGTCTATAACTTTATCAAACTATGTATATTTAAAATATTTTTTATTTATTATTATTGATAAAAATTTGTGTATTTGTGTAAAATAAGACACATTAATTGCGTTAAATCACTAACTAATTGCGTTTAATCGCGGATGGGGGAGGGGACGCGCATTCCACGGACCGGCAAACTTAGCGCGAACGGATAGTAACCACTACGCCCTCTGTAAGTTGTTGAGAGCAGTGTTACCAACCTCATCATCATCATCATCCTCGCACTGCTGCACGCTGACCGGCTCTGGCTGGTACTGCGCGCTGTACTCGCTGTCTTCTGAACTTTCGTCTTCACTCTCGTCGCATTCGAAGTAGCGGCTCTGTTGGCGGGAAAATACCTATGTGTAATTTAGGCAACAACTGAAAAAAACTAACTTAAACTAGGCGCAGACCACCGATTTTTAGTTGGCCAATAGATTTAAATTGTATGAAGAATCGGCCAAATCAAATCGGTGTAATGTGCGCACTTCCATACATGCCCATACTGATCAACTGCCCGACTAAACTATCGGCCTAAATAGGTAATATTTTGTATGACATCTTTAACTGGGGCTGCGGACGGTTGTCCAATTTTAGGTTTAAGTTTCATTGACCCTGGAAGACACCATCGGGTTTTAGTGGGCGACTTTTCGATTAATTAGTGTTCGATAATTATATTTCCGATCAATTTGGTATTCGATATGGCGGAGGTAACCCATAGACCAGTGGGTATGCGCAAAGCATATTATCCCGAAAGAAAAAAACAGACTTTTAAAAGTTTCTTGGTTAGAGGATGTGCCCGTTTTCACCATCAATCCCTTATTCATAACTAAGTGACTCCTATGGTAACACATAACAGGATTATGTTTTCATAGGGGCCACTTAAAGATTAAGGATTGATGGTGAAAATGGGCAAGTGAATCAATAAATGTTCCCAAATCTCTTTTTATGCATTGATCATGAGTTCGATTCCCAGTTCGAGACAATGTAACATGCGAAGACTCATGTGACAATGTTACGTTAAACAAAAATAAACAAATACTTTGTTTATTAGGTACTAGTATGTAGATAAGTAGGTAATAGGTAAAGTTACTCAAACTATAGATAGATGCTAATCGTATCGTAATGTAATAAATCGCCTCGTCAAAACATTTGCCACGTGCTAGGTATGTGTATCGCAGACTGACATACAGGTCAACATACTCGTAACTAGGTCGATTAAAGTATGATCTCATTATTTTGGACTTGAATCATCGCAAAAACTAAACAACATTCAAAGTTCTGAGTAATAAATTACAAAACATACATTGCTGCGTATGTAAAATAACTTTGTAGCCTACGAAACAAAACACGCAAATGTATAGTGAAAAAATATCAATGAAAACAAGGTTAAAATCGTTAAGTTGGTACGCTTGCGCAGTGGACGTAGTCGGGCGTCGTTCCATTTCTTGTTGAATCAATGATTCTAAAAAGTGTTCATTGTTGTTTTTGTACAAACTGACGAAATATTCCAAGGTTTATGTAATAAAACTTACACAGTTAATGTAAATAGTTGAAACTTTGGTGGTTAAAAGCCATTAAAAGCAAATGTTTAGGATAAATATTTTAAAACCAAAATGAAACTTAACATAAAATGCGCAAGACGGAATGGATAAGTCATTGGTGTGGTGCCAACATAACCATAAAAATCATAATAGCTGTCAAACACGACGATGGGACACTATCATTGAAAAAAATCTATTTATCGTCAAAACAATGAAAAATAGCACGCGGAAATGAGACGTAACCAGTGACGAATCGCACTTGCTGACAAAATCAGTGTTCGTTGTAGCAGAGTTTGCTAAATCCATGCTAGTGACAAGTGAATCGCAATAATTTAACTTCCTTTGTGTTGTGACAATGGCAGCAGCACTGGCTAATGATTCCCCAAAATACCGCAATAGCCTTATCTGCTGCAGCCCTAGGAGCGTCGATGTGGCGTCTACGTCGTCAGCGTCGTCTTCCACGTCAGGATGCGTCTCGGCTGACGACAGTTATGACTCGAATTTCGTTCCGAAGTCAATATCAAACAAAAAACTCAAAATTCACAGCTCAGCGACCAGAGAAGAGGTGGAAAAAGCAATTGTACAGTGTAAAGAGCTTGTATTGAACACTCCACAGTGTTCAGATGAGCGTAAGTGGCTCGTGAGATATCTAGTTGAACTGCGCTTGAGGCTAGAAGATTTAAAAGACAACGATGGACATGTCAGGGCGCGGGTGGCCATCAAAGGACACCACTTCGAGCAGCAGGTCAGTCCAAACAACCGTAAACAGTATTGTGACCACTGCAGCGGAGTTATCTGGAGCATCGTACAGAGTTCTTACATCTGCACGGATTGTGGCTATCTGTGTCACTATAAGTGTGTTGATCATATCTGCAGAATGTGCGCTCACGTCGTCATGACCGATAGAGGGCAGTTTGAGATGAGTATATGTCCGGAAAGAGGTTTAGCGACACAAGATTATAAGTGTGCTGAATGCCAGACAGCTTTAACGTTCAAGGACTCGTGGAACGAACCTCGACTATGTGATTACACTGGACTGTATTTCTGTTCCACATGCCATTGGAACGATATGATTGCGGTACCAGCGAGGGTCGTCCACAACTGGGATTGGGAGAAGAGGTACATTTCTCGCCTCGCTTACCAAATGCTGACTTTATCTTGGTCACGACCGTACATTGATGTGGAGAGGATTAACCCGAGACTGTTCACTTTCATCGCAGAATTGGAGTGGGTGCATAAAATGAGAAGGGATTTAGAATGGATGAGACGTTACTTGTGTGCGTGTCCGGAAGGAACGCATTTATTATCTCCGTTATTTATACAGCTAGGAGATGTAAATAATAAATACAGTATGGCACACTTGGAAGCTATAAACGATGGTTCTTTAGAGTCAAAATTAACAGAACTGACAGAATTATGTCGCGTCCACATAACAGGTTGTGCGCTATGCTCCGGCAAAGGTTATTTATGTGAAGTGTGCGGAAACAATGAGATTTTGTATCCGTTTGACAGCGGTGCGATTCTGTGTGACAAATGCAACTCTATGTACCACCGAGGGTGCTGGCTACGCAAAGGCCAAAAGTGCCTCAAATGTATCCGTATAGAGGAACGTAAGAAAAGCATTGTATGTAATGACGATGATGACCAAACTGATGCTATTTCTAATTTAGAATATGACATAGACAAATTTGTCGACAACGTTTATGTACCTGACATTTAAAAATATTATTTTTCGTTCAATGTATTCTTATTTTATTTTTATACCATTTTAGAAACTTCAGATTATTAACTAAAAGTTTGACATTCAAGATTTTTTATTATTCATTCATTTTATAAAAATACAAACACTGACTTATTTACATAATAATGGTCATTAACAGATAAAATCCTATCTCTGACCAAATAATAGTAGTAATTTGAAATGATTAAATAACAAAACAAATACATGAATATTTGACCTTTTTTTCTACAAACAAACCAATATTTTGGGGCTTCTAAAGATTTTTGACTTGAGTGGATTCCATTTGATATTTCCAATGATACCACTCATATTATATGTCTGTAACAACAATTTTATTTAAAAGATGCTTTGACTAACAATGTATGCTTTTTAAATGTTTACTAATATCATAAATACGATAGCAACTGTTTGTTTTCATTTTAAGAGACAGACCTGCGAGAAAAGGACCTTTAGTTGCTAAAAAGGGCAAAGCCGCAGGCCAAAACTAGTTGTTTTTATTTAAAACATATCTGACCTCATTATCTTACAATCCTCATGTTTATAAAACTGCATCATTTTATTTAGTTGATGCATACAAGTATTTATGTTACATAATATAAAGTTGTAATGTTTGTTAACTCACTTTTAATGTTATTACTGTAATTAATTATTGTAACATTAAATAACAATAACTGGTGGCACTGGTTGTTAAAGAGAAGTAAATAAAACATTGGGGAATTATCTAAGTACTGTTAATTTTTGTTAATGGACAAAAGTAATATTAAATTCTATAGAATAATGGTGCTGTAAATTATTAGCAATAAAAATGTATAAAAGCTTTAAATAAATAATGTGACTGCTACAATACTAAATTAGTAATTTATCCCTCGAATTTAGAATTTTAATAGATTCAGATTAATTTGTTGAAAACCGGAAATAAAATTGTTGCCGCCATTTTTTGACAAGGCGCATACAGGAAATCCGTTTTGTGACATTTAAAAAATAAGGCTTCCTATTCACAGCACGTTTTTCTCCAAAAAAATTGACAGCGAAATTTAAAGTTCTTTTTGCCACTTCACATTGTTAATTGTTTAGAGCTTTATGATGCTGATGATTAATATTTAATATAAAATTTACCATTCTAAAGGCCAATTGTTACTAATATTTCTGATGTTCATGTAAATATTTAGCTTAAGATATTATTAAACTTTTGTATGTGATCAGTTGCGCGTTAGTCATCGGCTCATCGTTTATTGTAAGATGTTTGTTTACCATCGCATTGTATGTTGGAATATATTTTTTGAACCATGAATACATTTATTGGAAATTAAATTATGTACTTTAATTTCTTTTTTTAGGCTAGGTTTTTTACTACATAACTTATAGACCTAACGAAGTAATTTCGAATCAAAATCGAATGCTTAATAGTAAGAGTGCTCTAATCACTTTGAACCTAAAATAGATAGTGATTTAACTGCACATTTTACCTCCTACACGCGCGACCTTCGTTCCTATGAACTAGTTTATGTTATCTCATTACTACTGCAATCTAGTAAAACTGGACACTAGTTACTAATGATCATTATTATCTTATTGAGTGTTTTACTGAAGCTAAGTGTATACAGAAAACAATTTAGGTCGACCACTAGCGATAAATAAGTGTGTAAACAATAGCAAATTAAGGTAAACACTGAGGCGTCGTATGCAGTTGTAACTGTAACAAACGCTATTTTGCAAAAATAAATGTATAATTTGATGTGCTATCAATTGAACGGAAGACAACACATTGGAATGTACATTTTTGTTGCAAAATAATCTGTATTGCAACGAGATAAGGTGCTTAAGCTTGACGTGCCGTCTGTATAACATAATTATAATCGCGTGATGTTCACGTGTTATTTGAAGTGGAATTAACTGTTTAAGTTTAGGCAATTGCATTTCCTAAGATAGTGATCTTGAATAGTAAATTATTAATGGAAATAAACTGATGTGAGTAATAATGTTAACTGAAGTGATGAACACACAGCGTCCCACACGTGTAATTGCTATCATTATCAGTCATGGACATTTCACTGTGCGTGCCAATAGAAACTGTAACTTCTGTGAATGTATTATGATAAAAATCAGCTCAGAGAGAGTAACCTTCCTACCTACCCTTAACATTACTTCACTTTGCAATACGTTTGCTCATATCTCTAGTTACAGCTCGGTATCTTTTAATATGAACTTGTTGTTGTTGATTTTTGGCGTCGAACCTTGGACCAGGCATACGGCTAAGCAATGCAGTCGTGCAGGAGGGTGCAAGGAAGAGGGGCAGCCATAATAGATAACACAGAGTCGTTCAGGAGAGTGCAAGGAAGAGGTGCAGCAACCGCAGTTAAGGATCGGCTGGAACGAACAAGGATAAGCGAATCCAACTCGCGAGCCTTGACAGGGATACGCGCTGGTTAAGGCGGCCCTTTACAAGGCCTGGGAACCTGCGGGTGACGAGCTATTGCTGTATTAGGCGTTTTTGTCACCAAAACTGCCATTTTCAGTCAGACCTTATCAGTACTTCTTGTTGACTTAGATAGAAGTACCTACTTATTTGAATGCGCAACAGTAAACATAAAGTTAAACCTTGACCACATCTTGACCTTATAATTGCTTAGGTACCGACCTAACATTAAGGAATTTAATCAGGCCCAGTGACTTACTTATCAAAGCTGTATTTCGGATATTATCTCATTTTACATCATCATCAATATTAATAGATACAAAGACGGATTAATCTACATATAAGCAGAGTACTCAAATGCCAAGAGGGCTCACGAAGTTAAGGGACGACGATAGTTACGTCAGGATGATGTCCAGTGTGCACTGTGCAATCAACTTTTTTAGATAAAAAGGGCCGCCAAGAAATTTTGAAAAGGCACGCTGCGCCACTGGGTGGTAAACTTCCGCCATGCCATCCCGCATTTTCCCCCAGTTAACCTTAGAGCTAAGGTTATTGACTTGGCAGTCCAAGCACCGGCAAGACCCGCGGTAGGTACACGCGATCGCGCGCTCTATATGCTGCAGATACTGCAATGCGATGCCATATTTAATTCTCCTGCATCTAGCATTATTGCCAAGTTCAATAGTTGTAGTACTTAGCCATGGCGTAGCTACCCCCGTATCAATGGTATGAGACCCCCATGACTATACAGACCCCCAGAGACGGATTAACCTATAAGCAGAGTACTCAACTGCCAAGGGGCTCCATAAATGTCTTGTGTGCAATGTCATTTTTAGATAAAAAGGACTCCCAAGAAATTTTGATACAGAGCACGCTACGCCACTAGGTAAAGCCCGGTCTGCGAGCACGTAGAATTTTGTCCAATGACCCCATGCTACCCATCCTTATCGCTCGCGCGTAATTATGTTGCTGTCGCGCTCGCACACTCACTGCGGGCGCCCGTCGCACAGTCGCGACAGCAATATAATTACGCGCGAGCGATAAGGATGGGTAGCATGGGGTCATTGGACAAAATTCTACGTGCTCGCAGACCAGACTATAGTAGACTTACTTGGCAGTCCAAGCACCGGCAAGACCCGCGGTAGGTGCACGCAAGCGCGCTCTCTATATACTGCAGATACTGCGCCCGCTCCGGCTCATGGCGGCGGCGGCCGAGAGACAGCAGGAATAGCGGGATGCCCAGCCGCCGGCGAGCCTTGGCTTTTGGCGTGCTGCTGTTGGAATTGGAGCTTTATAGTAAAGCTGTTCGGTCGAAAATGTTATAGTCACTAATTAGCGGAAATAGGAATAGCGGCATGCCGAGCCGCCGGCGGGCCTTGGCTTTTGGCGTGCTGCTGTTGGAATTGGAGTTTTATAGTAAAGCTGTACGGTCGAAAATGTTATAGTCACTAAATAGCGGAAATAGGAATAGCGGGATGCCGAGCCGCCGGCGGGCCTTGGCTTTTGGCGTGCTGCTGTTGGAATTGGAGCTTTATAGTAAAGCTGTTCGGGCGAAAATGTTATAGTCACCAAATAGCGGGAATAGGAATAGCGGGATGCCCAGCCGCCGGCGGGCCTTGGCCTTTGGCGTGCTGCTGTTGGAATTGGAGCTTTATAGTAAAGCTGTACGGTCGAAAATGTTATAGTCACTAAATAGCGGAAATAGGAATAGCGGGATGCCGAGCCGCCGGCGGGCCTTGGCTTTTGGCGTGCTGCTGTTGGAATTGGAGCTTTATAGTAAAGTTGTACGGTCGAAAATGTTATAGTCACTAAATAGCGACAACAGGAATAGCGGGATGCCCAGCCGCCGGCGAGCCTTGGCTTTTGGTGTGCTGCTGTTGGAGCAATTTCAGCTTTATAGTATAGGTGTAGGGTCGAAAATGTTATAGAGTCGCTAAATACGGCGGCGGCCGAGCGATAGCAGAAATAGGGGGATGCCCAGCCGCCAGCGGGCCTTGGCCTTTGGCGTGCTGCTGTTGAAGGAATTGAACCTTAATTTCGAACTCCTCCTATGTTCTTCTGATTAATTTCGTTGCGGGTCCAATGACAGTTTAACTTTCCCCCGGGACAGACTTGACCTTCATTGGTTGGGTTTTTATGGCGGTCAAGCTGTAGATCCGCGCTACACAGGAGTTGCAATAGTGGGAACGAGAGGTGGGAATAGTCCCGTGTTGAAGGAATTGACCGGTTATTCCCAGTCATTGCCTGTGGCGTCGTTCCCACTCATAACAAATGGGATAAAAAATATCCCAGTGATGACACAAATGGGGTAGATATATCTCACTAAGACTTGTTGCCAGTGATAACTAGTGACGAATGGGATGTAAAATCCCCAATTTAGTTTTTATTGTGTCAATAAGGCAACATTAAAGGATTTTGGAATGTAACTCTTTCGAAATGTAAGTTCAAATAGGTATTCCTTTCTTAAGAGCGAAAAATAGTTTCCGCCTTATTAACAGAACTCAATATGAAACTGAATTTGGATTTTCATTCCACCTTGTTAGGAGAATCTAATATAGAAATTTCTAATTTGTTATCATCAGCCAGCAGGATTTTCCAAGTTTATAGACAAAAAATTATACAATATGTGTACTAGGGGATAAAAAGACCTACCTATCTCCAACATTATTCAATAATGCAGGCTTCATGTCATTGTCTTTCTCACACAGTGTCGTCTCGCTCTGACGACGTTTAGTGCGTCTTTTCACTCCGTTTCCAATTTCTAGCTTCTCCTTATCTTCTGTCACTGTTAACAAAAATAAATGAATTTTTACACAAATGTTAAACCAATCTTATTTCCTTCTGTTTCAATCAAAGGACGTCCACTTGTGGACAAAGGCCTCCCCAAGGGTTTCAACAACGGCCTTTCCCTTTGCCCGCATCCAGGAGCTTCCTGCGACTTTCACTAGATCGTCAGTCCACCGAGTGGACTGCTTTTTGCCCTAATCGGCCGTCCGCTCTACGAGCTATTTTTCCCGCCCACTGCCACTTACGATTTTGTACGACCATTAAAAAAAAAAATACAGCAGTCGATACAATATCAACTGAGTCGCTAAAGTTTCCACATGTTTACGTTTAGATCTCATAAAGGTATTCTCTTTTACAATAAACCATCTTCCACTTACTATTAGTATTATGCTCATAGTTCCAGTTCCTCTCGCCATACTCCGCGTTGTCGGTCAACTCGCGCGCGGACGGATTGCGATATATCGTCTCCGTGGACGCATTACCGTTCTCTGCGTCGTAGGACTGCGATTCGGGTTGTTGTAAGACCTGGTGGATAATATAGCTTTGATATTTCAACTTAAAGGCGAGACTAATGGGGAGAAATCATTGTAAGAGATGTAGTAACAAGTTTTCAAATATTTGCCGAGTAGGCACTGTCTAATTCCCTATAGCCTGTAGGTAGATCGTCATCAGTATCAAGGGGAGTCACTTTGAAGGGAATAAGTCAAACTACTGACGTAAAAAAATCTGACTTACAGAACCCCCCACCCCCCAGGCCAGAAGCTGGATAAGACTTGCTATAATTGCTATCACTTGCTATTGGTTATTGATTGAGGTTTCAAAATAAAAATATTTTCGCGATCCTCAAGCATATTCTGATTATTACCTATACTAACGTAAAGCTTACTTTATAAAATTAAATAATTATCGACAAGAGACACTGCAAGAAAAGCGGCTTCTTTTTCCTCAGTAATAGCACAGTAGATGTAACAGGTAGGTAAGTAGGTAGGTACATGATTGAATATCTATATTATTTTTTAATTACCTGATAATGCGCCCTGGATCCCAAGAAAAATACCGCTCCAGAATTACTAGACGTCATTATTGCTGAAATAAATATAAACATTTAAGTATTCATATTATAATATTATCATTTAGTTCATGCTCATCTACCTACTAATATACATACCTACATGTATATGTTTTTACAAAAAATATTTCAAATTATTATCAAATATGAAAGGGAAAAACTATTATCGACTTTGAAGTCTAAAGTACCTAGGTACTTTTTAATTTATTTATGAAACCTATTGTGAGATACTTTAACACGAGTGCCCCGCTTTATATTTTTGTAATTCGAATTTCGACCTTATCGTCGGCAATAAACATTGTATAAAAATACTTTTTATTTGTAATTAGTGCTGCTTGAAAGGTATTCATATTTATAAAAAATAACAACAGAATAATGTGCAATTAAACTTAGGTTTCATAGAATGTAATAGGTAGGTTTTATTAGAATTGTAATTATTTATGCTATAAAAAATATTACTGTTCTTACCTATATTAATTGCTTAAATACTTTTTAAATTATTTTCTTTAATTTTCAGTTTAATTCTGTTTCATAATTAATTTCCACATTTTTACTTCATTTGTTGGATCTTTGACTGACTAGAAAAGGTAAAAATTTTGACATTGTATTGACTTGCGCAGTGCACCAACAAGGGTTGTCATGTCAGGGGTAAATGTTACCCCTAAATAGTAAAATAATAAAAAAATACCTATGGGCAATTCTTTACTTTTAGTTTAATTAAATTAAAAAGAAATAGAACTGACACGATCATTAACTAATTCAGCGATCTAATGTATGTGCTGAACATCGTGGTTAGTTTCAGCATTTAATACTACTCCATCCCTCTGATTGATGCTTTTAAAAAGCAGATTATACCCCAACCCTTACAAAGCTGCTTAAGATTGCAAAGCTGTGAGTTCAAAGTTCAAGTAAGGCAAGACGATCGGGTGACGGCAGATGTCGTTCTAAGCGAACATTATTTAGAGAAACTTATATTTTTTTATTAAAAAAAATTAGTTATATCCCAACTTATAAAATTGTAACAGTACATTACATGAAAGCTTTTAAACAATTATTCCAATATGTACTTATAGGAAACTTTCGCCAGTACCGCACGTAGAAACGCTTTATCCAAAATAATAATTGGCAAATACTTATGTAGCCTACCAAAGTGTTTGAGTAATATAATATTTTTCGGAAAAAATACAACTTAGGGCAAAAAAAATAATTGATTGTAAACAAAAAAAAAATTTAAAAAAGGAGTCAAATTTGTCCACTGCGGTACTGTTTGCAGTCATTGTTCAAGTTCAAGCATTCGTCATTCTACAGCGTCGCGGGTATCCAGATACAGTCTAGCAATTTCTTCTAGTCGACAGAATGGCAAATGTTGAAGTTAGTTCTTATTGCGACATGATAAGGTCTAAATGGGTGTGCTGTGCAACTGAATGACGCGGCTGCACTGTGCCGCTTCCCCGAGTGGCTTCGGACTCCATGGGTGTAGAACTGCGAGGCTTCTTTATATACTTAGCCGGGGAGAAAACTTCGATATCGCGATTCAGGTATGTAGGGTAGTGTAAGTTTCAGAGAAATTGTATTATGTAGTAAGTAAAAGAGTCAAGTAGATGCTAAAAATTATTGGCAGATTGTTTAGTTGGCTCCCAAATATAATGTGATGCTTATCGGTACTTGTCCAACTTATAAAGAATACTTAGCTTACTAAATAAGCATCAACACGATAAGCCTACAATAATAGCTAGTTAAGCTATTTATTTCATAATTTAGGTTACTTCCAACGGAATAGAGACGTTAACAGAAGCTGACGAGTTATCTTCGTAGATGTGCTCGGCGATGAAAAAGGAAAGATTATGGGCTAGAGCTAGTTACATTAAATGCAAGATCTGTTTTCAACTACTCTGTCTGTCTGCGACGGAGAGAGGGGTGGAATCAGGTTTCTTCAATGGAACATTAAGGTAAAGCACTATGCTGTTTATTGTCGTGAATAGCCCCCTACTTATTAGGTACTCTTAGCAACGCGCAAAATAACGCGAAGATGTTGGTACCTTATTAGTCAATTAAAAGTGATGAATTATTCACATCATTGACCAATAATGAAGCTGGTGTTGTATTGTAAGTCCGGTTAGTGTAGTACCAGGCCAGGCAGCTGTCATAGAAGTAAATTTTATTCAACAAGAGCTCTACTCTCTACATAACTAAGTGTAATAATTTACTTTACACCTACCCACAGCCTAATAAATTAAATCATTTTTAAATTCATTTACTCTATTTTGAGTCTATACTACCTAGCTAATAGCTATGATAGACTTATCTGGAGTCTAGACCTATCTCAATAGACGTGATGAAATTTCTGTCTCGACCACTTCAGTGTATCTAGATTCCAGGACCTGCGAAATATTTTTTGTAAATTCTACTTCGTAGAGGATTTTGTAAGAGTCTTAATCATGTTTATAAATCAAATAAAACTAGGGGTTGCAGAAAACTAGATAGCTCTATAACGTCGCCTTAACAGCTGCGTAGTAGAGCATGAAGCCCGGATACGTTTGTGTTGTATGATATCGGAAGATATTGTGACTGTGTTAATTTGCGATATTCTGTAGTATCGGTAGAGACGAGAGAATTGTTAGACATGCTGGTCGTTAAGCTTAAGCGGAAAACAGTACCTGGGTATTTCGCCGAAACAGTAAATTTTCTGTGTCCAGGCAGGCGAACACATGTTTTTTTATATCTATCTGTATAAAACTATTTTTATGGGAAAGTTCATCAACAGTTTTATTTGTTTTTGCTATTACAATAGCAGAAACTACAAATAATACCGTAGAAAAACTTAATCAAAAGTCGTTTTTCTAATTTCCTTGTTATGTCCATTACTGTAGTTTGCCAAAATGAAGGCTCATTATAACAAATTGAAGCGTAATTTAATTCTAATAGCACTTTCTTTACATTTGAGAAACGTTTGGCTATCGGAAAATAAAAACTTTAAATGTCAAATACTTATAGGAAGAAAATAAAGTGAAGTTAAGTTCTTGTCCAGGTCAAAAGTATAATTTCCCTGGGTCTTCGTTTCGACCATTGTTGTAACGAAACGAAAAAACTTAGAATGTAACGCACTGCACCACTACACTCGGCCATTTCGTCCCAAGAGGCCATTGAGGCAGGACAGTACGTCGTTGATCAGTTTCGCGACAAATCGCATAAATAGGTCCCTCCTTGGGTTTTTGTTTACTAAAAAGTCAATTTCTTTGGACGGTTTTTTGCAACTAAACAATGGATTAATTTTATTGTTTATTTACACAAATGTAGTGTCTGTAGGGGTAAACCCATGATTTAAATAGTAAATGCATAGGGTAAATAGGTTTTTGTCTGTGGTGTCTTTTAGGCATAAATCTAATTTCTTTGGTCCTAATTTCCTTGTTTTCCGTGGCATAAAATGACCTAGGAAATTATAAAAGACCATTAATAATTCGGCGTAAAGTCAAATTTTGAGTATTTCTTTATTGGAATAAGTTTAAAATTTACATTTTAAGAAATAGGTATCAGAATAGATATAGAAAAACTTGTTTTTAACTTTTAACTCAATCTACTGCATTTATCTTCCTTAGTTGTGTAAAAAGGTCGTAATGATATAATATTCATTGGCATGTTTGCTTGCGAAAGTACACAAAAATAGGTCGAACAAAAAAAAAGCAAACCACAGAAGAAAACTTAGAGAAAAAAATATTTATAATAATTTCCTTGGCTACCAAAAATTTATGACCTCATAACTTTGTTTCTAAAACGAATTATGACACCCCTTCTAGATATATTAGCTTAGTTTTTACTACTTAATGCAATGGGAAACTAAAAATAGTTAAAAACAGAAATAAAATTCGTGCCAAGGAAATTAGGCAAAATTGACCATTTTTGGCGAAATACCCACCTACTGAATATTTAAACATTAACTGATCATGACGATTTCTCGAGTAGGAATTAGGAATAGAACTTTGGAAAAATAATAGGTACTCCTGATAACATTTAGTTTGTATTTGTTTGTTAATTTCAATTCAATAAATTGTAGAGTATAGGACTAAGAAGCTCTTTTGTTTCGAAAATAGTCTGTCTCTACATTCTTTCTACACAATATTATGTTATTGATGAATATGCAGGTACATTACCACTGTTCAATCTCTCTCTACCTACATAATAAATTAAGAGTCTTGAAAGACCATAATATTATTAAAAGTTCGATTTTGTTACCGCTTGCTCTACCAATTCCGCTCATTACAAAGAGCTTTGCCTAAGATGCACACGCTGGCATTTTAATCCCATTACAATAGATTGCTTTTGTATGTGTATGAGCGTCATACCCATACTACTATGAAATCGACTCTATAAGATCCAATATGAGCGAGTGAGATGATACTTTATTAGCTGAAAGTTACATCCTATCTCTTTCTTTGAGCTCAGGTGAATCTAGATACGGTACAGGATGTTTTTAAAGTTCAACTTAATTTTTCAGTTGAAAGAGGTGTAAGTGATGTCTCATTTCAATATTTTTTTATCTTTTTCAGTATTTGTTAGTATTAAGAAAACAAATTAATGGTTTTCTTACAATCTAATGTTAATTATCTCAGGTGAATGAAAGATTACCATCATCACTAATTTCCAAATATCGCAAGACTCTATCAGTCTAACATTAAAGCCAATTGGAACTACACTCGCGAGCAAAAGTATGGAATCACTTACATGAAGTTGTTTCCACGCGATCTTGTGTACTAACCAATTTGTTAGTAACAAAAAAAGTAGCACCATTTTAAAGATTAAACTTTTAACTTTGTATTGATACCAAATTCATTTAAATCACACCGGTATTTAAAAAGATATCCCGGCTTATGTAAAGAAGTAAGGAAAAAGACATGTATCAACTGTTTGATACGTCGCGAGTTGCGGCCTATTTACCCCTTATAAAAGCACGTGTTTTCGGATTTTTGCTTTCACACGTTGATCCTTACACATCTCCGCTTCTTTTGACACTTTACCTGGGATTCTACACCTTCAGAAGCAGCACAAATCGTTGCACTATTGCAAGAAGGGCTCAGCCAGCGGGCTGTCGCACGTCAGCTCCACATAAGCCAGTCTTGGGTTTCGAAAGTTTTAAGACGCTTTCAGGAGACTGGTGGCTTTATCCCGAGACCAAGTTCTGAACAGCGCCGGTGCACATCGCAGAGGGATGACCGTTTTTTCATGTCAAACTCTCTATGAAATCGTTATTTGACTGATATCGACGTCCAGCAAGAGCTCAGAAATGTTCGTAGGATAGCTGTTAGCGAGTGGACAGTTCGTCTAAGATATGAGCAATAGAATTTGACTCCAAAAAGGCCTGCCACAGGCTCGAAACTGACGGCAGGTCACCGACAAGCACTTTGCTCGTTATCTCGATGGGAAGGAGAGCAAGTCACCCCCATAAGCCACTGTTTCAGCGTACCAATACTGCACAAATCGCTCCCCAGGCCGCCTACAGACCCGACCTCTTCGACTGCTGCACTGCAAACACAGTCTGCATTTATCGGAGAACAGATTTCGCCTCCATTACTCGACTTCCCATCAAAATGTGTGCGAACAAATTGAAGGCGCGCTTGTCGGTGACCTGCCGTCAGTTTCGAGCCTGTGGCAGGGCTTTTTGGTGTCAAATTCTATTGCTTATATCTTAGACGAGCTGTCTACTCGCTAACAGCTATCCTACGAACATTTCTGAGCTCTTACTGGACGTCGATACCAGTCAAATGACGATTTCATAGAAAGGTTGACATGAAAAAACGGTCATCCCTCTGCGATGTGCACCGGCGCTGTTCAGATCTTGGTCTCGGGATAAAGCCACCAGTCTCCCGAAAGCGTCTTAAAACTTTCGAAACCTAGGACTGGCTTATGTGGCACTGAGATGTGACAGACCGCTGGCTGAGCCCTTCTTGCAATAGTGCAACGATTTGTGCTGCTTCCGTAGGTGTAGAATTCCAGGTAAAGTGTCAAAAGAAGCGGAGATGTGTATGGATCAACGTGTGAAAGCAAAAATCCGAAAACACGTGTTTTTATTGGGAGTAAATAGGCCGCAACTCGCGACGTATTAAACAGTTGATACTTGTCTTTTTCCTTACTTCTTCACATCAGCCTTGATATCTTTTTAAATACCGATGTGATTTAAATGAATTTGGTATCAAATTAAAGTTCAAAGTTTAATCTTTAAAATGGTGCCACTTTTTTTGTTACTAACAAATTAGTTAGTACACAAGATCGCGTGGAAAAAATTTCATGCAAGTGATTCCATACTTTTGCTCGCGAGTGTACGTGTGTCGCGGCGCCAAATTAAGGCAATCAATAAGTTTAATTTAGCATTATGCACTACTTAAGAAATAAGTAGGGCAGACTGGATAAAATCCTTAGAACATTAATTATTCACCCATAATGAATGTTGAGAAAGAATAAAGGCCATAATCCATTGAAATTGGAAACCAGGTGATTATTATTTTCACGCATTTATTATTTTAATCTATTCAATAAGGACAGCCTGTATACTGTCGTCGCTCCCGATCGATGGACCTCGACCTTGTTCAGTGGGCTGTATTGCGCAGGGCATGACGTCGTCTCCAACCGAATATAGTCGCGTTTGAAATGGACGAGTTTGTGCAAGATACTACCAATAACAATAGTAGGTAATAATCAGTATAATGGATTAACAAGTTGCTGCCTAAATGAGAAGTTTTATTGTTTGATGTGGCTGGATGTTATCGATGTGGCTAGGTAGAGTCAAAAGATAAATTATCTATCAAAATAAGGAAACACAAAAAGCAAATAGTAAATTAATTGGTATTTCTATTATGACTCTACAAAATGAATTGAACATTCCATTACTTTAAAAGAAAAAATCTTTAACATAGTGATGAAATTGGTACTAGTTAGCATTTTTGGGGAGGTACTTGATTGGTTGCTTTGACAAAGCCAAATAAATAACTAAATCTGATGTAGAGTCCCAAATGTGTTTAATAAGACTGTTAGTATAAAGAATGAATATAAAGAGAGAGTGTTGCACTTCCACTGTAAATTAATATCATGATTATCATCTCAAGACAAGTAAATTGCTCAATACCTTCCATTTTAAGATGCGCTATGTGCTGTGTTGTACAGGGTAAACGTACTGGACAGTCTAGTCTGAGTCATAAGTAGGTCATCTCTACAAAACATAATTCGATTTATTTCAGTGCAACGCAGCTACAAGCGGCCCTGGGTATTCAAATTATTATTCCCCTTTATTATTTCCCCTCGCTCTTGGATAAACCTGTCTCCCAACTCATTCATGGAGGCACTACGCAGACTGACGTCATAGCGGTTCACCAATCGGATAGCTCGTCCTGAATCTCGATATCAAAGTTTTTTGGCCGCTCTGTATAAATACAAATCCCAATGTAGAGACAGCGGGGAGTCCCATTGCTACAAGGGAAACTGGTCGTGGTGAGGGGCCAGCTTTAAGCCCTCTCCATCTGAATATGTCGTCTTTAAGTCGTCATGTATGGGTTAATATGAAATGGTAATAAAAATCACTCGTAATAATCGTAAAATGAAACGAGAGTTCTTCTCACACACACCTCTGTAGCTGCTTTGACTTCCTTTTTTTGTTATCGTTCCAGTGTTTTTATTATTTAACAAACCTGCCTATCAAAATTTGTGGGAAAAGTACTGTCCTTTAACTCTCCTGCATAGCTTAAAATTACTACATTATGAGAGATATAATGGTATATTTTGAATACATTTTCAACACTGTTAAAACGTTTTTTGAGAATCATAAAAAATAAAAGCCTCTTCTTCAGAAATCCTACTTACAAAAAAAGAGTTCTTCGTATTTGAACCCGCCACCGTTGGCTTGATAGGGTGCTATCTACTAAGCTAGTGAGACAGCTGTCTCATTATACTTTGGTATTAATAGACTTTGGTAATTAATACACGTTTGGTAGCTACCAAACGTGTATTACTTAATTACAAAAGTCTATTTATAAACTGTACACGTAGAGTTCACTGCCCACACCTTGACACGTAAAAGGCATTCGTAGATTGATTTATGTTACTGTTAAAAAATATACCTACTGACTTCCAGCGATAGTTTTTGTTATAAAATCACTATTTTTTTGTAACAAAATTTTAACTTTTACCGCACTTAGTTACCTATTACTCACTGAGTTCAATTTATTGACTCTACATTATTATCATTTTTTAAATTACGATATTTTTCAAATGTTAATAGCTCATTTTAATATGTAAGAATGTTTAAAAAATTGTAGTACTTATTTATGTTACTTTAATTAGTTAAAAGTTATTTAAAACAACAAAAGGAAAGGTCAAATCAGCTACTACCGTGTGGATGAGACCAGAGAGTCTCTCTTTATCATTTTCTTGACGTATTTGACATTATTTTACCATATATGATTGCTTAGCGCTTCAACATATCTGATGGCAAGGAATTAGACCGGATCCCTGCCAGCTCCGGCTTACGTAGTAGCTACGGACCTCCCGACCAGGGAGCCGTAAAACTTTGTTATATACGCAGCGCGATCAAAAACTTCGACACCGCGAGTCAGGAATAATTTTTAAACATTCTTTTTCTCCTCAAAGGTTCAATGTAGAGCACTAAAAATTTAAGTGATACAAAAGACAGCTTAATTCTATCTTTCAATATCTTTTTCATGACTATTAATCATAAAATTAAGCTGTAATTAGATGTTTTCAGTTTTGTAACATCGTTTATGATGTTGGCAAAGGTGTGAAAGAGACGACAAGATTTTCTCAGCTACTGACGCAAGCAGCAAAACAAGTATGAGTGACATTCACCTAAACAATCTTTGCGACTCTATACAGTCTGTGAATCCAAAATTGATTTTTAGAGCAAGACTCATTTTAAGACTAGAAAGATAGAGCAAGACACAAAACTGGGCGTGGTCATTTGCATGGAAGAAAATGTCATGATCAGTCACACGTCCCACCCACAAAATATTGCAATTTATAACACAGTGAGTCTAGTGGTCTGTGAGTTTCTAATTAGCTTAAAAAGTAAAAAAAAATAAACAAAACATTTTTTAAAGATCAAATAAAATATTCCATGCTTAAAATTAATTTGTTAAATATTATGAGAATTTACCAATTTTTGGGGTAAGGAATTTTATCATGTGGCAACATTATAGTCGTGGCCATTTCTTATTCTGCGGAGTTAAATCTTGAGAAAAGAGAAATCTGTAGAAAATGGCTTCATATTTGCAATAATTATTGCGTTTCAGATAAAATTCAGTGTTTTAAGAGTCCCTAAACAGTGATAAATAGTGAAAATACATTTGAGCAAATTGTTGCCAACAAATCAAATCGTGAGTATATTGTTGCAATAACCATAAAATCCGATTTTCATTTAAAATAGAAACACTAAAATATTGGGTGTTGCAAGAAAGAAGTGTTTTTAATTTTGACGTTTTCGTATTTATTTACGAATCAATCAAACTTTGTTTTAATTGTTTTTCATTAAAATCTTATGTGGAGTGTTTCCATCTGAATTTCTTTTGGAAAGCAGGTTTCCCAGATAACCTTTACCATGCTACTACGTATAAGTAAAATTGATAAAAATATGGATTCATGTTCTTCATCTGCATTGCAGATCCCGGCTTTCATCACAAGTAGGTTAATTTATAATGCAGGGGCATTATGTTTTCTTTGTAAGTTCTGTATAGCCAAAGTCTTGTATAAAGATATTTACACTAAAGTTGGTGTCTAGAATTAACAGAACTATTCCCACCTCTTGTTCCTACTACCGCTGCAACTCCTGTGTAGCCAGGATCTACAGCTTGACCGCCAACAACCCAACCAGATAAGGTCAAGTTTGTCCCAGGGGAAAGTTAAACTGTCATTGGACCCACAATGAAATTAATCAGAACAAGATAGGAGTGGTGTTTAGAAATGTGTTCTTTATTTCTTCCAAAAAATGATGTTATATACTAGAACCACAAGCAAATGCATTTAATAAAATAAACAACCATAGTATCATAGTAAATAATTTATATTACATTTATTTGTATTTGTGCAGTGCCACAGGCGATACAGTCCTCTCAACTTAAGCTGAGAATTGCATTTGTGTGAGTGCACACCGATAGTGTAGAGTGACAATCGGCTTGAAGCGCGGCGCGCGTCCTGCGCATGGTTTAAACCGGTTTATTTATAGCAAGCGGCCTGAAGCGCGGCGCGTCCGCCACGCACCGCTTCCTTGCCGCTCACTATACTTCACTTCACCCCCGGTACTGGTAGCAGATAATGTGTAATTTTATGTAATTGTGTTCCAAATATTAGTGAAATGGCTCCTACTGTAAGTGAATTTCCTGTACGAAATCCATTAAACAGCCAAGTGAAAGAAATTTTATGCAAATTGAATACGTATTTTAAAGGTGTCAATGAAAAGTTTTTAGTCTGTTTTTATTTTGTAATTTTATAAAGTTTGTCTTTTTGTTGTATTTTGTAAGGCTGGCTGGACGCCCTCTCTATAAACGGTGCTCGCAGAATATCAGCGTCGAGGTACTTCGTGCCTTGGCATATGCTGAGCGAGGACCTGTTTTTATTTATTTAAAAGGATGTGTCAAGTGTCGTTACATCGGCCCAATTGGTAGCAAGTGTTTTATAGACTTCCTTTTAATAAAACATTAATTTTATTTGTATGTGTTTTACTAACGGTACTTTTGGCGATCACTCACACAAATGCAATTCTCAGCTTAAGTTGATAGGACTGTAGTTGAGAAATCAACGAATAAAAGTTGTAAACTTTAATTTCAGGTCATAAAACAACATGTCGGAGAACGAGGAGATTCCGGAGACGTCGGAAACCCAGCTCCTTACAGCGGAGTACAAAGATGGTGCGATATTATTTTGTTGTTTTTTACAGTTCGTTCGTTTCAGCTGAAAGACGTCCACTGCACTGCTGGACAAAGGCCTTCCCCAAGGATTTCCACGAAGACCGATCCTGTGCCGTTTTTCACAGTAATGCTATTCAATTTCTTGTTTTACCAATCCATGGTTAATTTCACATCTTGGCCTGATAACTCTTAACATTGGGGGAAATTAATTTTAATTAGAACACCACTTATCTACGAAAAATACAGCTGTAAATCCCCTACAAATCTATGCAGATTTTTCTCTTTTGTGGATAAAAAAATATACTTAAGAAGTTACTTCACCTTTGTTTTATTCTTGCGCCTACTCTAGGTCCACTACTTAGAGTAGGCGCACACCGTTGATTTTTCGTCGGCCGATAGTTTAGTCGGGCAGTTGATCAGTATGGGCATGTATGGGAGTGCGCACACTACGCCGATTCGATTTTGCCGATTCTTTATACAATTTCAAATCGGGCACAACTATCGGCCAACTAAAAATCAACAGTGTGCGCCTACTCTTAGAATCATCAAATCAATGAATAACAGGCTGCATAAATTTATTGGTCAGAAATTGTAATTATTTTACTTCTATAATACTCATTCTCATGTTATACTTTTCTTTTCACAGGGCAGCTGCAAATCGTGGAAATGAATCCATTTGATAAAGTGGAAGGGGTCAGTATAAAAGTTATTATTATACTATGGTTTTAAAATATTTTGTTTCGTGGTTTTACTATGCAATCAGTCATTAGAAACTACAAGCAGATGAGGTGAATTCTTTTCGTCCTTTAGAGCACAACTCCCAGCCTTTCTTTTTCATAATTTTGGGTTTGTTTTCGCACTAATTTAATTATTTTAATTTTGATTGAGGAAATGGTTTGAATATAAATAACTTACTTCATCATTGCAGGTAAACGACATGCCAAGTTTGGAAGGTGACAATGTACCGAAGTATGTGCAAGTCATAAATCCGGACAAGTCTGTGATGCAGCTCGACCTACTCAATTTGACGCTTGTCAGGTAAGTCTGGGGTCAAAGTCAAAGTTACAGCTTTTATTCAGTACTTAGGCCCTTCCCAGGGCACTTATACAGGGTGTTAGGTAAATGGGTATATGAGCCGACACTAGCCCATGTTAACATGGGCATATAAATGGTATGGTGAAGTCAGAAAATTGATATCTTCATTTTAATTATTTAAATATTCATACATATCGGATTTTATAAAATTTATACGTCCCAAATAACTTGCCCTACCACAACATCGGGACAACATTATGGGCTGGTGTTGAGAAGAAATGGTAGAAAAAACTTATGCCCGTATTCACAAACATTTCTATGGGATCTGACAGTGCGTGTGGATGCACAGGGTGACACACGAACCAATAACAGTACTCTATTCAACGCTGTGCGTTCGATTTGCTGCTTCACTTAAGCAAGCATCGTTTGTGTATACGGGCGTAAGGATTTTGCCTTACTTATTTCTCCCTTACTTACGTTACGACATTCATTTCGTTTTCCAGGTGCGAAGACGGCTCAGAATCCTACCGGCTGGTGTCTGCGTCAGAGATTGGCGATAGCAGCTCAGAAGCAACGGTCACGTGCGTGCTGCACTCCAGCGATAATGAAGGTAGCTGTCATTTACACCATCATCATATCTTTTAGCATTGTAAGTCATAAGTCCACTTGAGCAATGAAAAAAGTCGCATCTGTTGACCTGGGTGAATTCATTGCTGGGTGAACAAAGGCGACCGGTTTAGTCGACTCAATTCACCTGGAAAATAAAGTTGGGTCAAATGGTTCTGAGGCAGGGTTCGAAATTATGAAGATAATTACGCTCCACGATAATTATTAACAGTATAAGATACATTTGTCATATTGTTTCATAAGAAATTTTGATTGCGAAGTTGCTTTATGTTTTTGGTTGCTGACTGTTGTCAAGTTATCCATCGCTAATCACATAAAACTTGGAAAATAGATAAATATTTTGACGCTAGATAAATAGTGATCATTGTGGATCTAAATAGATAGGTTTTATAACTATCTATGTTGATTAACGCCCACCACTAGACGAAAGTGCAGAAATACATGTTCGAAAACTTCGAATACAGTTAATTTTTACGAGAGCATTTTTTTGTTATTAACATCCGATAATTATCCTTCTGTTATTATCACGATAATTATCATGATAATTATCATTGATAATTATCCTTTCGAACCCTGTTCTAAGGTGAAATGAGGATACTAAAAAATCTACTTTGTTTGTTGTTCTAACCCAGGTGATATCATCCAGATGAATAAAGTGGAATAAACCATCTTATCATGACAGATCGATATTCAATTGGCCAAAATCAGCCGGGTATAGCCAAAAAGCTGGTAAAACTAGAGAATTGCAATTGAAAATTTGTTTATCAACTATTTAACTGACTTCAAAAAAAGGTTTATGTTCACAATATAATTTGCTTGTTTTTACTTACAAACCAGCGTCGTGGCCTCCCTCACCGGGGGCCACGGCATGTGCTGAGTGGGGTCCCATTGCGATGGATATCGCTGTGCGACAGGGTGGCACTGCTCAGTTTACTTTCTCTTCCATTGTATGTTTTATGTCACCTCTGTCTTATTTGCTTTTTTTATTCACAATTTTACATCTTTTGTCTTTTGTGATGTCCATGGTAATAAATGTTGCTTTCTTTCTACACCACTAAATTTTTATCACCGAAAAAAAAATTCTGGGTAATGAGTTATTGATACTGATCCCATTTGTGCAAAAAAAAGTTAAATAAAGTGACTCTTAATTTCCTCCTAAAATTGGTAATTTATGGACACACGCGTCGCTAGCACTATTTACGTACGATAATGTAACACTTATTAGAATTTAAAATGGTCCAAGTTAGCTAAGTATGTAATAATAACACTGGAAGCGTGGTCGAGGCGTGAGCGAGACAGACAGATCGATGCAACATGCGAGAGCGTACGACTACTCTAGCGAGCAGCGGAGTGACCCAGCTATGACGCGTAAAATACGGACTAAAGAAAATTTAATAAAAAAATAACTTTATGAAAAACATTTCTTTTTCTTTTGCTTTAAATTTTTCACACGTTTCTACATAACCTGTTAAAATTTTTTCGGTGATAAAAATTTAGTGGTGTATAATATGCTTATAAATAACCACAACTATTTCTCATCCCATCATCGTCTACTTCAGCGGAGGTGATGCTAGCAGACGCGGAGGCGGATGCGGATGCGGGCGCGTACGTTGTGATGGACGGACGCCCGCTCGTGCTGTACGAGCAGGAGCCGCCGGAGCCGGAACCGGCGCCGGAACCAGCGCCGCAGCCGGTGCAGGCGCCGGTGCCGGTAAGAGAATTATATTTTACTAGCAGCCGCCCGCGACTTCGTACGCGTGGATCCCGTTTTACCCCCTTCATCTATCTTACGCGGTTTAGATTTTTTCAAAAAAATGTTTATTCCCGCTAACTCCCGTTCCCGTGGGAATTTTGCAATATCCTGTTGTAACTAAGCTTTAAGTTTACTAAGGTCCCTGCGTGCCAAATTTCAAGCGTCTAACTTAAGCGGTTTAGATTTTTCATACAAAAAGATTTTCCCGCTAATTCCCGTTCCCGTGGGAATTTCGGGAATTCCTTTCTTAGTGCACCTCTACGGTACCTAAGCTACGTCCTTTCCAAATTTCATGTGCCTACGTTTAGCCGTTTAGGCTGTGCGTTGATATGTCAATGAGTCAGTTTCTCCTTTTATATACTTAGGTTTTAACTAGCAGCCACCCGCGACTTCGTACGCGTGGATCCCGTTTTACACTCTAGGGGTTGAATTTTGCAAAATCCTGTCTTAGGGAGCATCTACGGTTACAATCCCTTTCCAGGTTGATAAGTGTGCTATATCCTTTATTGTTGGTTTATAAAAATATTTATTGGTGTGAGATAAATAGTTATAACTTAATTAATTCATCATTAAACAACTTATTGTGTTTTCTTTTATCAGCTATTCAACCGACTTTTTAATAATAAATTAATTTTGTTACAGCCAAGAAAATTGACGCCGAACGAAATTTTGGAGAGAGCCAAAGCGTTACAGAAAGCGAAGTAAGTGTACTTCCTATTCAAAGCTGTAAAAGCTAGTAAAAGCTGTCTGGCAAGGAGTTAGAACTACACTCGACGTCAAATAAATCGCACCTCCCGCGACAAGCATTTTCAAACGTATGCATCCCCACTTCTCACCAATATTGGTACCATTTAAAAGCCTAGTTCTAACCTTTATTTCATTAAAGGAAAGGTTTTTACCCCAAAAATGTGTTTTTAGAAGGATCCAGAGTCACTTCTTCAAAAAATAGGTAGTTACGCTAAAGCCAACTTTTATGGCTATAAAACTATTAAGTTGGGTTTAATTGCTCTCCATCTGTTAAAGAGGACACGTGAAATCATTATTTGGTTTTATAACCATAAAAATTGGTCTAATTGATCCCAGAGGTGAGCCCAAAGTGAGGTATTTTTTCAAGTCACATTTATGGTATATGTTAATCATTTACTAAGAAATTAAATGTGTTTTTCTTTAAGGATATTTATTGGGCTTTCAAATAACACCAATATTGTTGGGGTAGCATGATTGTGTCAGAAGAAAATCGTTAAAGTTCGCGTCGCGGAAGGTGCGGTTTATTTGATGTTGAGTATATTAAAACTGGCTGATGTGGAAACAACTTCTAATTATTGCTCAAATATTATACATAAAAATCAGACTTCATGGTATAACGTAAGTAGAATTACAGTGTATCTGTTGAATATACAGTTGATTTTGATTGTCCTTGTCAGATAGTTTTTTTAGGATAGCTGCCAAAGCCACGATGACCCAAACTTCATGATTCACCAACATTCTATCCTATATTGGGAGTATACGCTGTCAAACTTTAAACTTTTATAAAATGACGTAGGTATGTCCACATAGTAATAATAAGTATAGGTGTACCAGAATCTCATGGCAAATGGGGAAAATAAACTTTGTTGAGTGCAATACTGGGGAAATTGGATTAAACGATCTTGATACTGTTAATTATTATTTATGACTAATATTAATGAACATGAAGTACGAATGCCTACCTATACATTTTAGGTATGTGTATGAAGAATGTTGTTATACATCGGGTTTTTAACATAGGAACATGTCTTGAAAAATAAGTAAATCGTATATTACTGTAAATAATTTTATTAAGTATTATACTTATAACTTATCACTTCATTCAGAACTAGAAAACGATTCTGGGTATTTCGCCAAAAATGGTCAATTTTGCCTAATTTCCTTGGCACGAATTTTATTTTTGTTTTTAACTATTTTTAGTTTCCCATTGCGTTAATTAGTAAAAACTAAGCTAATATAATTATCTAGAAGGGGTGTCATAATTCGTTTTAGAAACAAAGTTATGAGGTCATAAATTTTTGGTAGCCAAGGAAATTATTATAAATATTTTTTTCTCGAAGTTTTCTTCTGTGGTTTACTTTTTTTTTGTTCGACCTATTTTTGTGTACTTTCGCAAGAAAACATGCCAATGAATATTATATCATTACGACCTTTTTACACAACTAAGGAAGATAAATGCAGTAGATTGAGTTAAAAATTAAAAACAAGTTTTTCTATATCTATTCTGATACCTATTTCTTAAAATGTAAATTTTAAATTTATTCCAATAAAGAAATACTCCCGCGACCTTTACCAGATCGTCGGTCCACCTAGTAGGAGGCCTGCCCACGCTACGTTTTCCAGCCCGTGGTCGCCACTCGAGAACTTTCCTGCCCCAACGGCCATCGTCTCAACCTTGGGGGAGGCCTTTGTCCAGCAGTGGACGTCATTTGGCTGAAACAAACAAACAAAGAAATACTCAAAATTTGACTTTACGCCGAATTATTAATGGTCTTTTATAATTTCCTAGGTCATTTTATGCCACGGAAAACAAGGAAATTAGGACCAAAGAAATTAGATTTATGCCTAAAAGACACCACAGACAAAAACCTATTTACCCTATGCATTTACTATTTAAATCATGGGTTTACCCCTACAGACACTACATTTGTGTAAATAAACAATAAAATTAATCCATTGTTTAGTTGCAAAAAACCGTCCAAAGAAATTGACTTTTTAGTAAACAAAAACCCAAGGAGGGACCTATTTATGCGATTTGTCGCGAAACTGATCAACGACGTACTGTCCTGCCTCAATGGCCTCTTGGGACGAAATGGCCGAGTGTAGTGGTGCAGTGCGTTACATTCTAAGTTTTTTCGTTTCGTTACAACAATGGTCGAAACGAAGACCCAGGGAAATTATACTTTTGACCTGGACAAGAACTTAACTTCACTTTATTTTCTTCCTATAAGTATTTGACATTTAAAGTTTTTATTTTCCGATAGCCAAACGTTTCTCAAATGTAAAGAGAGTGCTGTTAGAATTAAATTACGCTTCAATTTGTTATAATGAGCCTTCATTTTGGCAAACAACAGTAATGGACATAACAAGGAAATTAGAAAAACGACTTTTGATTAAGTTTTTCTACGGTATTATTTGTAGTTTCTGCTATTGTATTAGCAAAAACAAATAAAACTTTTGATGAACTTTCCCATAAAAATAGTTTTATACAGATAGATATAAAAAAACATGTGTTCGCCTGCCTGGACACAGAAAATTTACTGTTTCGGCGAAATACCCTTCTAAGAACTCCACTTGCATTTCTTGTTCTTCAAATAGATGATCAAGTTAAAGAGGTATTAATATAATATAAATCGCTTTTTCAGCATTTCAATTACTCAAACTTGCTTGATGAAATCTTTTTCAATTTTCTTTACATGGTCATAACATTTTCACCATTCCTCTGCACCAATGCATGAAATACACCTGAAAACCCCGATAAAGCAGCTATTAGGTAAGAATAATATAAAAATAAAAATAACCCTCCTTCTGACGCAGTTATGTAATAAACTAAATGTAGGTAAGTATCAAAACATTTCACTCCAACTTACTGTCAACTCAACGACGCGATTTAAAATCAAAGATTGACTTTGAATTATGCCTTATTTTACAATACACTTTGAAAACAATATGACTTGCTTGAGTTTTTTCGTCTTTTTCACAAAAATAACAAATAGGCATGAAGAGATTACAAAATTTCTGCAGCGGCTGACAGATCACTTGATTTACTTTGACAGGTGACAATAAAGCCATAGACAATGGCCATATGAAAAACACACTTTTCCAATATTTTTGTTTGCCATGAGATTCTGGTACACCTATACTACGTACAGAAGTTTTACTTCGCGAAGGTATTTAAAAAAAAGTATGCTCAATGTCATTAACAATAATATGGTGTAATTTAGCTTGTCTCAAGAGTCAAGCACCATTTTGTTGACAAACGTCAGTGATCGGCACTGCGCCGAAGCTATAGGGCTGACTTCGGTAAAATGATGTGACGTGAGGTGCCAAACTGCGGAAAATGGCGGAGGAAATACATGATTTAGCATGAATTATCATGAATAATATTAACTACTTATTTACCTCTCAGTGTCTTGAGGCAACTTAAAAAAGTACATTCTGTGTTTTTATTTATATTTAGGCAGTTAAATACTGCACAGTATTTACTATTTAGTACACCATTTTCTTTATTTTCTTCCATCATACACAAGAATACGCGTGCGTGAGTCAATGTTCGCTCGCATGTGAGGCCTTGTCGAATAGTATCCTGTAGGTGGGCCATCGTGCGTGTTTTGTTTTCGATGTAAACTCGCGGAGATGAACAGGCCTGATTTTGTTGACAAACGTCAGTGATCGGCACTGCGCCGAAGCTATAGGGCTGACTTCGGTAAAATGATGTGACGTGAGGTGCCAAACTGCGGAAAATGGCGGAGGAAATACATGATTTAGCATGAATTATCATGAATAATATTAACTACTTATTTACCTCTCAGTGTCTTGAGGCAACTTAAAAAAGTACATTCTGTGTTTTTATTTATATTTAGGCAGTTAAATACTGCACAGTATTTACTATTTAGTACACCATTTTCTTTATTTTCTTCCATCATACACAAGAATACGCGTGCGTGAGTCAATGTTCGCTCGCATGTGAGGCCTTGTCGAATAGTATCCTGTAGGTGGGCCATCGTGCGTGTTTTGTTTTCGATGTAAACTCGCGGAGATGAACAGGCCTGGTGTTACTTAAGAATAAGAATAAGAATACTTTATCCTATTTCCTACTAATATTGTAAAGGCGAAAGTTTGGATATCTGGATGTCATGACGTCTGGATGTTTGTTACTCTTTGACGCAAAAACTACTGAACGGATTTTGTTGAAACTTTACAGTATTATTGTTTATAACCCAGATTAACTTAAAGGCTATAATTTATATGTGACAAATAAATTTCAATAAATAAGACGTGTCTCAAAAGCGCCATCTATCGTCATTGGCTAAAATCTACAGCGCTGGACAAACTACTGTTTTTGACGTTCGCAAAATATTCATACGGGGGAAGCCGTGAAACGCCATCTATCAACATGATATCTAACGGGGGTAAATCGAGGTCTACGCGTACGAAGTCGCGGGCGGCCGCTAGTAAGTCATAATAGATCACCTAAATAATTATGGCGAGGAATGAAATAAACACCCTGTATTTATTATTATTTATAATTATTATTATTACTGTACTGAGTTAAGTGCTAGACTTATAAACCTCCACCTTGTCCCCAGGGCGCAGCTAGCCAGCCTGACGCCCAAACGGCGCGGGCGCGGCCGCCGCTCTGAGCTGCCTCCGCCGCACGAGCTGCTGGCGTCGCCCGGCTTCAAGCTGTTCCTGTACTCGTGCCGCATGTGCAGCTTCAAGTGCAACGCTGTGAAAGAGATGACTAAACACAAGGTGAGTTTAAAAAAATGTACCTTCATTAGTCACTAGGTGGCACTGTACGTGATTAGTGCCTTCCCAGCTCACTAGATGGCGCTGTGCACGAAGGTATCAACTATACTCACTAGATGGTGCTGTACACAGTTAGTACCTTTAAAGCATACCAGATGGCGCTGTGCATAATAAGATCTAATAAGCTCACTAGATGGCGTTTCGCTTGATTAGTGCCTCCTAAAGACACTAGATGGCGCTGTGCGCAATGGTACTTACTATGTTCACTAGATGGCGCTGTAAAGAATTAGAGTTAGTGTCTTTTATGGGCGCTAAATGGCGCTGTGCATAATAGTACCTATTATACTCGATAGATGGCGCTGTGCATAATAGTTACTGTTAAGCTCACTAGATGGCGCTATGTCTAGATAGTAGCTTCAAAGCTCGCTAGCTGCCGCCGCCGCACGAGCTGCTGGCGTCGCCCGGCTTCAAGCTGTTCCTGTACTCGTGCCGCATGTGCAGCTTCAAGTGCAACGCTGTGAAGGAGATGACCAAGCACAAGGTGAGTTTTATGATAAATTTCAAGTTTGTTATTTTCAAGGAATAAGGATCAAAATCCAGCAAGAAATCCGTTCTTGTCCAACTTCGAGCTGTAGCTTCAAGTGCAACGCTGTGAAGGAGATGACCAAGCACAAGGTGAGTTTTTACCGCAAAAAACTGATTCAAATACAGATAGTACCCTCATTAGACACTAGGTGGCGTTGTACGTGATTAGTGCCTTCGCAGCTCACTAGATGGCGCTGTGCATAATAGTTCCTGTTAAGCTCACTAGATGTCGCTGTACATAATTAATATTAGTGTCTTTAAACGTCACTAGGTGGCGCTGTGCACAATAGTACTTACTAATGCTCACTAGATGACGCTGTAAAGAATAAGAGTTAGTGTCTTGTCAAAGGAGTCGCTCTACGGGAAGGCTTACTGCATCCCCATGTGCATAGTTCCTATTGAGCTTACTAGATGGCGCTAAGTCTAGATAGTACCTTCGAAGCTCGCTAGCTGCCGGCGCCGCCGCACGAGCTGCTGGCGTCGCCCGGCTTCAAGCTGTTCCTGTACTCGTGCCGCATGTGCAGCTTCAAGTGCAACGCTGTGAAGGAGATGACCAAACACAAGGTGTGTTTTATGATAAATTTCAAGTTTATTATTGTCAAGGAATAAGGATCAAACAATCCAGCAAGAAATCCATTTTTGTCCAACTTCAAGCTGTAGCTTCAAGTGCAACGCCGTGAATGACCAAGCACAAGGTGCGTTTTTACCGCAAAAAACTAATTCATTAGTACTTTCATTAGACACTAGGTGGCGCTGTGCGCAATAGTACTTACTATGCTCACTAGATAGCGCTGTACACGGTTAATATTAGTGCCTTTTTAAGGCAATAGATGGCGCTGTACACCATTAGGGTTAGTTCCTCCGACGCTCACTAGATGGCGCTGTGCACAATAGTACCTATTATACTTGCTAGAGGGCTTTTTAATAGTTCCTGTTAAGCTCACTAGATGGCGCTGTACACCACAGATATGGATTAGAGTAGATACAGCAAGTTGCTCGTCAAAGCGTGCCATTCCGATATGTCCAAATGGACATACATGGTCGAGTGATGTTCATGTAATCCGATTACAACAATCGGTTACGATGATTTTACGAGGACAGTAGTACGAACACGGTAGAAAGAAGAAATTATTTACGGATTGAGAATTATTGTAATTAACGCACAAGTAACAAATAATTAATTATAATAAAGTAGCAGTAGAAGAATTATAAAACAAGTTAGATCAGTGATCGCGGAAGACAGAGTGCACTGTGTAACGAACGTCGAAATATACAAATCGAAATATAAAAATATATACGATGGCACTGGATTTTGTCGTTTAGATATATCTTCAAAACTAGGTAGGTACCTGACTTAGCTTTATGAAAAAAAGTATTTTTACATTTTATTTAAAATAAAAAGCTTGATATATGTATAGAATGACGTTTACCGCTACAAAATTATTTTAATCCACAGTCAGACTAGCTATAAATTTAACAAAATGTCAGTTTTATCGGAATTAATTAATTATCGAATCGAGTCACACGATATCATTCGATGACTTTGCGATTGCAGTACGATGATACGATTATTTTTACGTTGCGGCAATCACTAAAATTCGCTAAAATGACACTAATGACGTTTAAAAAGTGGCACGCTCGGCTTCATACAATTTTTGACACATGCTGCATCTATCCATATCTGTGCTGTACACAATCTAGTATTAGTACCTTCAGCGCTCACTAGATGGTGCTACGCACGATAGTACCTATTTCACTCGATAGATGGAACTGTGCATAATAGTTCCTGTTAAGCTTACTAGATGGCGTTGTGCGGGATTAGTACTTTCAAAGGTCACTAGATGGCGCTGTGCCTAATCAACTTTTTAACACTGACTGTTTAACCCCTAACCACTGACGTGTCATTTTGTTACACTAACACTGACGTACGTACGGCATACGTACGTAACTTTGAAGACCTCTTGATGTATCAATAGAGTGTAACATTGGTGAAATTTGAATTTAAATTATTTACACATGTTTATATTAAACGGGGATAATAAAAAAAACTTAATAAGATTAATAGAATAGTATGATATTAGTGAAATCCTCCAGAGGTAATAAAAGTTACAGAGACATTTATTAAAAATCACCACAAAAATATTCGATAACAGTAGGAACTTCTATTTTGGCCATATTTATGATTAAGAACAGTTTTAATTACGAAAAAATCACAATAGCAATAATTCACAAAATAAGCCACTTTTTAATACAGTTCAATTAGGAAGGCTATTTTCTATAGTCTTTCTTTGATTGATGACCTGGTCACCAGTTTGCTGTGCTTCAAACTAGTGAGGAAATATGAAAACATGGTATACAATCTTCAGAAGAATTCAATCCAAAGCGACGAACTGACTTTCACCATCATGATGATTATTCTCGAAAGACGCAACCGATATAAAAATTTTCATCCCCTGGATTTTTTGCTAATTTCTTCGTCATTTGCAATATTTATGGGCGTAAATGAGGTTTTTTACATATAGACGACCAAGAAAATAAATAAGACTGCTAACGATTTATTTTATCTATGGACCACCATACATAAACGATTTTAAAAAAGTTACACTAACACTGACGTTACGTACCACATACGTCGGGTGGTCTAGTTCTCCTACTTAGGAACATGCTACCCATTTATTTTCTCCCTTCGCACACGCATCTCTGGCCACTAGGAAACTACCAAAAAGGACACGCAAAAATTCCCACACAAAATGAAGTTTTGAACGAAAAACCGTTTGACCGACGTACCACGTACGTACGTCAGTGGTTAAGGGTTAAAGCAGTGGTTCTTAACCGGTGGTCCCTGGAGACATTCCAAGTGGTCTACGAAGTGCACTTGCACACCTTGGTTAAAACCACTTTTAACTGATTTTTGCAGGCAAACTGGTTTTGACCGATTTTGAGGTGGTCCCTGACAAGACAGAAATTTGGTAAAATGGTCCCTCATGACTTAAAGGTTAAGAACCACTGGTTTAAAGTGACACCAATTTAGTCTGTAAAAGGCCGCCACCAACCGGCCATTGTGGAAATCATTGGGAGAGGCCTATGTTCAGCAGTGGACGTCCTGTGGCTGTCATGATGATGAGAAGTCGGTAGTTTTCGGAAAATCTGTGATATCTCACACATTTCATGCAAATCCTACTTATAATATTATAAATGCGAAAGTTTGGATGTCTGAATGTTTGTTACTCTTTCACGCAAAAACTACTGAACGGATTTTAATGAAACTTTACAGTATTATTGTTTATAACCCAGAATAACATATAGACTATAATTTATGACGATCTGTGACAAACGAAATTTCACGCGGGTGAAGCCGGGGGCAAAAGCTAGTGAAAATATATTTACCTTTATCATCTGTTTGTTGCAGGCGGAGCACAACTGTTGGCGACGGTCTTCCGCGGGCACGCTACAGTGCGCGCTATGCCCGTACCGGGTGAACACTCACTCACAGGTAATAGGAATATACTAATAGGCTAGATGACAAAATTTCAATTGTTTGTCCGTCAGCCAGATAATAGGGATGTTTCCTGGGTCAAAAAGCAAGAGTTTTAATTAGTCCGTCAGTTAACTTATCAAAAAATACTCTACACGTATTTTTCACTTTTTCAAACTAATGAAAATTTAAAGAGAAAGCGCGCCAAAGTTCATAAGAAGAGCCCCGTGACGTCAATGCGTGCATAAAAGTGCCGCACGTTGTGACGTCGTGCGGAACTTCAACGCACCATAACTATGTAATTATTTGTTAGATTGACAAATAAAAATATATGTGTCCAATATTTTTTGATATTAAACATGACGGACTAAAAAATTTTTTTTAGGAAACTAGCCGATTAGAAAATATTACACTCATATTTTATATTTTCTTTCATAATTACCTAAATAATAACAGTGCTACATCGAGTTGAAATGGCGCGATACGTCACGCTTGAGTAGAATTTTTACGCGACATTTCAACTCAATATAATTACTGTAATTATTCGATTATGGAAAAAAATATGAGTCTAATATTTTCTAATTATCTGTCTGGCGGACTAAATAGAATTTCGATTTCATTACCCAGTCATCATCCCTATTATTGAAGATAATAAAATATTTAAAAATATTAATATTTTATCCTCCAAAGAGCGCCTTACATCTTGGTGACAGGTGACGTAGTGTTCTACATTTTGCTGACGGATGATGTAGGAGTTTACATTTTGCTGACGAGTGACGTAGAGGTCTTAATTATCTATAGTCTGGTCTGTGAGCACGTAGAATTTTGTCCAATGACCCCAAGCTACCCATCCTTATCGCTCGCGCGTAATTATATTGCTGTCGCGACTGTGCGACGGGCGCCCGCAGTGAGTGTGCGAGTGCGACAGCAACATAATTACGCGCGAGCGATAAGGATTGGTAGCTAGGGGTCATTGGACAAAATTCTACGTGCTCACGGACCGGGCTTTACCATCCTAAGCAATTCAGTTCTCACACATCTTTACCGATCATTATAATCCGGGCGTCGAATGGATTTCAGCAAAATGTTATATCGCTGCTTTGTATTTCTACACACATATGTAATTTAGAGCTCCAAATTAAATTTATATCAGAATTTGTACGTTTTTTACTATTTTCAGATTATGAAACATGTTCAAGACGTACACGCCGAAGATAAACCGCAAAAGGGGAACAGTAAGTAAATTATTATTTTGTTTTCCTTACCAAATAAACACACAATATACGACGCGTAGTACATCCGTAATATGGGCATTTTTTGGAGAAATTCAACAAATAAATAACCAAATAACACGAATTAGTTTAGTAGTTTTTTCTTTCAAAAAGTATAATTTTTTATTATTTGTTGGCATTTTTTGAGTATTTTATGTATTTTATTATTATCGCCTGTTATTTAGCATTATTACTGTTTTTATTTCATCAGGACATACCTCATAGTTTAAAAGTTTTTACGTTTTCTTTACAATAAGTAATTGAAAGAAAAAAAATCTATGACAAATTAAAGAAAAATCTCAGATATTTCTTGTCATTTTTTCCGTCGAAAAAATGACAAAAAATAGGTCTAGTTTCACCTATTATGTGCACTTTATCAAGACTCACACTGTGTTTTGTCTGTGAATCCGAAACCGTGTTTGCTTCAACTTTAGTTGCGCAAACACGGTATTCTCATTTTCTAAATATTTTTTTTGTTATCAACAGAGGTGCACCTAGACACAGCGGAGGTGGCGGCTGCTGACGTATTGGTGTGCGGCGCGTGCGGCTACGAGTCGTCGTCGCGGCCGCTGTTCCGCGCTCACATAGAGGCTGTACACGGCGCCACGGCTTGCTGACGGTCAGTATATACATTTACGACTTGCTGACGGATGACTTAGGGGAACTGTAAAGCTTACTGACGGGTGACTTAGATATTTTGCGGTTTGCTGATGGGTGACGTAGATATTTTGCGGCTTGCTGACGAGTGACGTAAAGACTGCGGAAAGGTTACGAGTTCTCGCGGCCGCTGTCCCGCGCTCACATAGAGGCCGTCCATGGTGCTACAGCTTGCTGACGGTCAGTATATAGTTTAAATAGCGTTAGTGTGACGTAGAAGGTATACGCTTCAGCAAGCGTATACCTTCTACGTCACGCTAACGCTATGGGTGACGTAGTGTGGTATACACAGTGCTGACAAGTGACGTCAATACTGCGGCTTGCCGACTTCTTGGTGTGCGGCTACGAGTCGTCGTCGCGGCCGCTGTTCCGCGCTCACATAGAGGCTGTCCACGGCGCCACGGCTTGCCTACGGTGAGTAAACACTTGTGGTGGTGACGTAGCGGGAATACACTTGCTGATAGAAGACGAAGGAGGACTGAAAAGCTTACTGACGTAGATATTTTGCGGCTGTTCACGATTGACGTAATGACTGCGGCTTGATGCTATGAGTCGTCGTCGCGGCCGCTGTTCTGCGCTCACATAGAGGCTGTACACGGTGCCACGGCTTGCTGACGGTCAGTATAGTGAATAGTGTTGCTGACGGGTGACGTAGGAGATATACACTTAGCTGATATATGACGTAGGGGGTGTACACTTGCTGACGATCAGTAAAGACATTAATTAGTGTTGCTGACGAGGGACGTGGCGTAGGTAGACCCTACGCTACCTTTGCTGACGGGTGGGCTGTGGTGTGTACATTTTGCTAACTGTTGACGTAAGAACACTGCATCTTGCTGACGGGTGACGTAGGGGAGGGGTTTACACTTTGCTGACGACTGACGTCGTAGTCTACATCTTCCTGACGGATGACTTAAGTGTGTCTGCACTTTGCTGACGGGTGATTTATTAGTTTGGTTTTAAAAAACTATTGTTTTTTTTTAATGCGAATATACTGAAAATAAGTAATTTTATGTAGGTATTTCAACCAACATATTATTGTTACAGGTACATTAAACAGATGCTGAAAAAAGGATTCGCCAATTGTTAGCGAGAAATATCTGTACATATTTTCTTCTTTCGTGTGGCTTCAAGAAGTTTGAAGTTGTTTGTACATTAGCTATGTATCTAGTTTTACCTATTTTGATTCAAAAGTAATATCAGATACTGAGATTCTTCAGTCTCTCTATAAGTCCATTTTCAATATAATGCATTTACATAATTGACAGTTTCTTTACATAAAACTACTACAAAATTTCCGGAGACTGTGTCTTGTCCACCCACAAGGTGGACCGACGACCTCGTAAAGGTAGCAGGAAGGCGCTGGATGCAGGCCGCTACCAACCGGCCATTATGGAAATAATTGGGGGAGGCCTATGTTCAGCAGTGGACGTCCTGTGGCTGAAATGATGATGATGTGTTTTGCTGCTCCTTTATTTACCCGACTGCGCCAAGAAGGGTTACGTTTTTCGAGTGTATTTAGGTATATTATTCTGTTGGAATAAATAATCATTAGGTAGAATCCTATTTAATATTTTTAATCAACGCCTTCTCGTACTTAGTGTTCAAAATTACGCATTTGTGATAGTATAATGTAAGTAAGCTCTTTGAAATAGTTAATTTATATTCAGTAAATTAATTTTAAATTGTCGTAGATATTAAGCTAGTTTTGGTGAATTAGAAATATTAGTTAGAAAATCGTAGACGTTATATTATGAAGTTTTGTCGGTCTTTACTAAGTTCTTGAATTTATAAATTCAAAAATATGCGATAATATCAGTAACGTAAATTTTGTAATACACTCAACATCAAATAAATCGCACCTTCCGCGACGCGAACTTTAAAGATTTTCTTCTGACACAATCATGATGCCCCAACAATATTGGTGTTATTTGAAAGCCCAATAAATAAACTTAAAGAAAAACACATTTATTTTTTTTATAAACAATTAACAAGTACCATAAATGTAACTTGAAAAAAGGCCTCACTTGGGGCTCACCTATGGGACCAAGTAGACCAATATTTGTGGTTATAAAACCAAATAATGGTCTTACGTGTCCTTTTTAACAGATGGATTTAACAGTTTTATAGCCATAAAAGTTGGCTCAAGCGTAACTACCTATTTTTTGAAGAAGTGACTCTGGTTCCTTCTAAAGACACATTTTTGGGGTAAAAACCTTTCCTTTAATGAAATGAAGTTTAGAACTAGGCTTTCAAATGGTACTAATGTTGGTGGGAAGTGGGGATGCATACGTTTGATAAGTGCTTATCGCGGGAGGTGCGATTTATTTGATGCCGAGTGTATAAACATTTGTTTTCTTTTGGTGACAGTTATGTTTAAATGTCATTTTATTATTATTTATTTAATCGTCAAGTCTCTTTCTGTTTATGTGAAAAGATTTGTTAATTTTAATGAAGTTTTAAGGCATTTTTGAAAAATCACAACTGACTGAAGTGTGAAGTTATATTAATTTAAGCTTTAAATATACTATTTAAAGAATATTGTCTTTTACTTTTGACACTATTATTGATATTTGAAATAATAAGGTACACACGTACGGCCACACTGTTAACTATCCATTTCCGTTTTTGCACTCGCTCTCATCACATGGCGATTCTTTGCGATAGAACGAGACAACATCACAGGCAAATTATAGTTAACACAGTTGCCGATGGTACAGTCAGCGTTAAATAGTTCATGACACCCAAAGTAGCCAAAAAGTTTGCCACACGTCTTCTTACGCCCGTATTCACAAACATTACTATGAGGTCTCACAGTGAGCGTGGACGCACAGGGTGACACACGAACCAATCACAGAGCTCTATTCAACGTTGTGCGTTCGATTTGCTACTTCACTTATGCAAGTATCGTTTCTGAATACGGGCGTTACAATTGGAAGGTTGTGTGTAAACTTTTTGGCCACTTTGGGCATCACAAAACATTTGACGAGGACTGCACATATAATTTTGTAGGTAGAGAGAACTGATAAAATAATAAAAACACATGGATATCCTTAAAAATATTTATTACTCAGTCAAAAACCACAACTGACATTCATACAATCACTACACACATCTTATTAATACTATAGCTTATGTCGTATTTTAAAAATCTAATAATTATACATTTTGCTGTTTGTTCTCTCAATTTAACATTGCGACTTCAAATGTGGTTATAAAAGGTGTTATTTTGGAACAAAAATGTAGACTAATAAAATATGCTGCTGACTGTGTTTTTTAACACATTAACCTTTTATGGTGGGAACTATTTTCCCACTGCCTAAGTGGGAACATAGTTCCCACCATATCTTGATCTTAATTCCCTTAAGGTCCAAAAACAATGATACATTTGGACTTGTTATTAAAGATTTAAGTTGTAAATAAAGGTCGCTCTTATCTAGTTTGAAATAAGGTCTGTTGTGCTGTGTGTACTTATACAACTTTTAAATTGGACAATCACCGTTTCTTCGTTCGTATAGTATAGTTGTCTCTGTCACATGTAATATGAATGACAGAGACAGACTGTACCAGTTACAACCCCATTAAGCTACCTGCGCAACTCACTGTCCGTACCAGAGCGTCGATGTGACGTCACGGCCGCCAGATGCGCATTTAACTCGACCGGGTTGAAGGTACAATATCTTAAATCGTTTCTTACATTTTTATGCGTATATTTTATTAACAATTGGTACATGGTTAATCATGAGGCCTGCTGATTTTTGGAAGAATTAATTCCATAATTTCTAAAAAATAGAAATCTCCAGAATGACATTTTCATTTTTACCTATAAGACTGGTCCCTAACTCTTTTTATTTGACACCGTAAAAAATAACACAAATAATTTAAGACAAACATCTTTTCAGATTATTTTGTTATAATCTCTAATTTTCACTTTTCTCTTCTGCTATCATTTTTCTATTCACGTTATTTGTTTAGTGCACATGCACTTGATATTGAGGTTCAATTGTTTTTCTGACAGTCATTTTACATTAAATACTATTTTATGTGGTATTTGAATTACTTTCTTTCAGGTCAGTATTGTAAAAAACATTGTAAAATGACATTCTGGTGATTTCTATTGTTGCTATATTATTTTAAAATTGTCAAATAGTCACATAGACTGTCGAGTGTCGACTTCATGACGAATGCGCGCGGCTGAGAAATATCAAAATAAGAGCCACAACACACATGCCACTATTAGACCACTTGACGTTTCAAAATCGCCGTAAAAGTCGCACGTCTGCCGTGGCCATAATGTTAATTCGTTCCTTCGGAATAGAGCAACAACAACCACGAGCTGTCGAACGAAACCGATTTTGGATGACACTGGATATAATTTGTGTGTAAGATGTCAGGATTATTTCAATATTTTGTACAATAAATCAATCACTGAACCAGTAAGAATAAACTTGCTGTTCCATCATTTAGGTTGCATAAGATAGGTAATTCATTCTTGGGGAAATGTATTACCATATTTAACAAAATACCACACAACCTTGTCGAATTGCCAATAAACAAATTTAAGATACATATAAAAAATACCCTTATGTCCAAAGGGTACTACAAGGTTCGAGACTATATTGATGACAAGGATGCGTGGTCAGTTCAGTCTGCACATATTTGATGTACTTAAATTTGACTATTCTTACCGTTAGATAATTCCTGGCAATAAGTGGTGACTGAGTTTGTTCCGGCGTTTCTTCTCAGCACTTGCCATATGTTTGTCTCGAAGCGCTGGTAGGGCCCAAAAGATAAGGAGACATGTAAAGTGCCCCATAAGGGCTACCTTTTTCTTTTTTTATTATTTTCTATTGACGTTCATAAGTGCCACTTGTGGTCTAAACTGAATAAATATTTTTGATTTTTGATTTTGATTTTTTGATTTTGAGTCACCACGTTTCTGAAGCACTACTTCTCATAAACATCCACGATTTCACTTACGTAAAATCTGAAGAAATCTCAAGAGTTCAAATTTTCAGCGTGCCACTAAGTGCCTCTGAACTGTCAAATAGTTGCAAAAAAACGTTCTGTTAGACGTGACGGCGACGGTATCTCTTGTTATCACACAGTGTTGCTGTCATCTCGCTCGCTCAGATCTTTGTTGCTCTATTCCGCTGGGTCAGTGTTTTTCAACATGTGGGTTTTAGGGGGTCGCGAGAAGTTGTAAAAACTACCTGCTATTCGGTCCCTTGAAACATTTTTGTAATATGGGGGGGTCGTAATTTTTTTCATACTAGTATGGTCGTGTCATGAAAATATACTCAACATCAAATAAATCGCACCTTCCGCGACAAGAAATTTAAAGATTTTCTTCTGACACAATCATGGTGCCCCAACAATATTGGTGTTATTTGAAAGCCCAATAATAATAAACTTATAGAAAAACACATTTAATTTTTTTATAAACAATTAACAGGCACCATAAATGTGACATGAAAAAACGCCTCACTTGGGGCTCACCATTGGGACCAATAGACCAATTTTTATGGTTATAAAACCAAATTCTTCTTGCGTGTCCTTTTTGCATGGATGCATGCATACGTTTGAAAAGTGCTTGTGGCGGGAGGTGCGGTTTATTTGATGTTGAGTGTAGTTGAAAAACACTGCGCTAGGTATATTAACTTTATGGCTCTGGCCCTATTTGAAGACCTCAGTTCATCACGGCGCGTCGTCTCCAGTCGCGGCGTCTAGCTAGGGACACTTCCGCTCGAGCTGCCCTTTGCCTCCCTCGTCGTACTCCTGGGACGAGATCCACATCTGCTGGAAGGAGCCTATTGAAGCCAGGATCGAACCGCCTGCGGACAAAATGGTTATGTTAAGAAACACGCAAATTTATTTATTTATTTATATTAGGGAAACAAACAAATAATCACACAAAAATAGGACAGAAATCAGCAAAGTTTTCACAGTTAAAATTAATACAGAGTGCAGACTAAAAATTAATTAAATAGTAATAAATTATACATTAATTTCTAAATGTCAAATAAATACAATGTCAATTTTATAAAATGTCAAACAGTTAAATTTAAAGTGTCAAAAAGTTAAATATTAATAAAATTATATAAATTAAAACACAATAATTATGTAGGTAGGTCAAAATTAAACCATCAATCCCTTATTTTTAAGTGGCTCCTATGGTAACACAACAGGAATTTTGTTTTAATAGGGGTCACTTAAAAATTAGGGATTGATGGTGAAAATGGGCATAAGACACTGATCTAGCCTGAGTTTTATGTTAGATCATACAATATTCTCGGTCGCTCCAACCTCGGAGCTGTTGTGTTATTTGGTTTCCGCTGCTGTAACTTTTAAATCAAATCAAATCAAATCAAATCAATAGATTTATTTCAGACACTATCCCACCGCCGCTCGACTATTGTGGTGAGCCCACTCGTAACACAAGCTTATTTAGCTTACCACGAGGGGCTAATGGGACTATTAGTAATTTGGGCAATACAAATTGGTAATAATCTTAAAAAAAAAAAAAAAACTAGTCCATACAATAAGGAGAAGTATTTAAAAGCCAAAACAGTCAGTCTTACATCATAAAAATAAAACTAAAAAAGGAACTATCAATTTTACACATGCAGCCGACCTACCTTATGCCTGTCGTACTAACCTTCGAGCTACCATTCTCACCGTAGCTCTAACCTCCGAGCTATCTTTCTCACTTTGCTCAAACCTCCGAGCTACCTTGACGCTCGAGCTTACCTTTAGCTTGTCGTACTAACCTACGAGCTACCACGCTCGCTTGTTCAACCTTTGAGCTACCACGCTCGCTTGCTACAACCTCCGAGCTACCACGCTCGCTTGCTACAACCTCCGAGCTACCAAGCTCGCCTTGCTACAACCTCCGAGCTACCAAGCTCGCTTGATACAACCTCCGAGCTACCACGC